GGCGGGGCCGGGCCGGGCCGGGCGAGGCGGGGCCGCCGCAGGCAGCGCGGGCGGCGCGGGAGCCCGGCGCGGCCCCGGCCCCGGCCCCGGCCCCGGCCCGGCCCGGCGCGGCCGCCCCATGACGCCCAGCGGGCGCCCCGCGGGGCCCCGACGCTCCCCCCAGGTAACGCGGCGCGGCGGCGGGGCGGGGGCCGGGCGCTGCCCGCGGGCGGTACGGCTGCAACCGGGGCTCGGCGAGATTCGCTCCTGCGCAGCCCGGAGCCAACGGGAGGGCGGGCGGCGGCCGGCCGAGCACGGCGGGCACCGAGCGCCGGAGCGGGGCGGCGGCACCGGGGGAACGGGAGGCACTGGGCTGCGGAGCGAGGAGGGGGCGTCCCGGCGGGGGCTGCGGGGGGAACTCCTCCTCCCGAAGTTGCCCGCTGCCCGCTCCGCGTCTGTTCTAGAAGTTGCTGCGCCCCGAGTGCGGCCGTCCGTCGCGTCGCTCCTTCCGAGGGCGATTGCCGCAGAAAAGCGGCTCGAAGCGCCGCCGGGGTCGGCCCCCTCCGCGGGGTTAAGGCCGCGAGGACTCGAGGGCCCCCAGAGCGCTGCTGCGACATTCCCCAAGTGCGGGATCGCGCCGCAGGGATCGCCCGTTTCAGGTCGTGATCGACTCCCAGCGCCGATTGAGGGCCGCGTGCTGCCCCGTGCTGAGCCCCGGCCGCGGCTCCTTCCCTGCGGGCAGCGGCAGAGCACGGCCTGACCGCCGCCGTCTGCCAGCCAGAGGCAGTCCCCATCTTTGGCTGTCGGACCGGCAGCGGTGTGCAAGGAATTGCTGGAAAGCACAATAATTTATAATCAACGTTCCTCCTATTGATTTTATCTTTGAATAGATACTGTTAGATAATGAATAGGAAATAGGACGCTGAGTGTAATTCTGCTCTGCTCAGATCAAGGAAGGCTCCCGCTGACTTTCCCAAGGCTGGGATTTCACCTCTAGTTTCTATTCCTGGTGCTGTCACTGCCTCTGTGACCTTCTCAAGCTCCCAGCTTCCCTTTGCCATACATTCCTTACATTTAAAGAAGTACTTGCTTCATGACATTGCTGCAAACTTCAACGCGCTCAAATTCTTTGCGATCATAAAGAGGAACGGAATGAATTTCTGATATGTATCGGTGTTCCTTCCTGAGTATGTTTTCTTGTGATGGTGAGGGGAACCACAACTGGAGGAATTATTGACCTGTTCCTGCAAACCTTGTTTATGCCCTCTTACTCCTGAGGTAACTGGCCAAGTGATTATGCGAATAGGGGCTGGGTCTTGTATGACAGTTTTTGTGCTGGGATATGCAGACATGAAGTACGTACACATTTGCCTTTGAAATGCTCCATCAGGAACCAAGGCTGTTTCCTTAGGTCAAAGTTCTGGGATCCCAGTTAACATAAACAGATTTCTGTACAGTTTTGCCATGGAAGCAAATCTGCAGACCTGTAACTAAACTAAAGTTACTGCAGGAAGTTGCTTCAGTCCTTTTCTTTTGCAAGTTGATGGGAGTCAGAGTGCAAGAGCAATTCAGAAAACTCCCGTAACTCACCTGGTGCTTAAGTTATTTTTAACTCTAAATGTCAGATCCCAAATGCCTTGCAGAAGGCTCTCTGTGTCTCTAAGGAGGAGACTGGGAGTCCTGTGCTCAAAACCTTGCAGGGGCAGCAGGGGCCACTCGTTCCTGGAAGGCAATCTGTGATGGAATCAAGTCCTTTGGATGTCCAGTGATGCTAAAATGCAGCACATCTCGCATGGCACCCAGCACCCTGAGGTGCTGCAAAACCCAGGAGCACCCCACTGCGAAGGGCCCTTTGTGCATCCAGGTGCTGTCTGAAAAACACTGCCAGCCCTAACCCCATGGGGCTGTGCTAGGGCAGATAAGCACAGCCTTTGCTGCTGAGGACTGCCCTCCCAGTGCAGCCTTCTTCTATGCAAATTGGTTTTGGTGCAGTCTCAGGCACGAGTGGAGCTGATGCCTGCAGCAGAGCAGCAGTGCAGGCAGAGCTGCAGGGAGGGGACAGCTTGGGCTGCAGGTGTCCCCTCTGGGAGGGGCACAAACAACCCTCAGCAGGCTGCTGCCTCCTTCTTGCCCTCCATGCATGTGTGCAGTTACGAGCAACAAGGGCATAGAGCATCCTTTAAACCAAAGGGGAGTATCGCTTACCCTTGGCTTTTATGCCGCATGACATCACCTCCCGAAGCTGCAGGCTCTTGTCTCCCCAGAGCCACGCAGTACATGGTTCTGTGCAGTCTTCCACCACCACTCGTGGTGCCAACTCAGAGTCTGGAAATGCAAAGTCACAGCCACGGTGGTGAGGGAGGGATGGGAGCAGGACCTCTTCCAGCCCCTCTGCTGCTCTGTGCGGACCGGTGCCATCCCCCAGGGCAGCAGCACTCACCATGCCCTGACTCCTGCCCTGCTCCAGCATGCGGGAGCTACTCTGCAGCACCTGCTGGGGGCTGTGAAGCCATCAACACAGGAGCATGGGCACTGCTCTCTGGAAGGTGCGACGGCTCCATGAGGTGTCATTAAGCCAGCAGCAAATCGTCCTTATTAGCTCCCAGCACCTCCCAAGTGATTTTGCTGTGTGCAGTGACCAGAGGAACTGCTTCAAACTGAATGTTCAAAACGCCGTTGCAATCTTCACTTAACTTCAAAAGCAATGAAGGGAAAATAATGGTTGCCAAGAATTGGGTTTGGAAATTCTTTAGGGTAATGTGTGCAGATAACTCCAGCAAGGCAACAGCTCATTCGTTCCCTTCTGATAACATTAGAAATGCTCAAACAGCTTACAGATGCTGTTGAGACTCCATGACATCGTTAAGAGTGAGTGGCTCTTACATCGTTACCTGTCGCAGAGCTGTCAGGGATTCCATGTGCACATACCCCACTGCGGCCCCACAGCTCCTCTCAGCCATCAGAAGAGCAGCATGCAGGTGGCTGCCAGGAGACCCCTGCCCAAGGCGTGGATGGCTCTTTGTGGGTGCAAAAATCAGCCCCATGGAATGAGGGGCTCGGGACCCACAGAGACAAACCACGGTTTGTTTTTTGTTTGGGTTTTTATGTTTGTTTGGTTTTGTTTTTAAACACACAGGTCAACTACACAGATCTTTTGCCTTCCAAACCAGACAAAGCAGACCTTAACTCCCAAAAGCTTTTTTTGTTTGTTTGGTTTTTTTTTTTTAATCAACTTATTACTTAACTACTGATTTGAAGGAGAAAAAAAATCATTGTTATGAAAAGGATAATTTTCCACTTAAAGGAGGGGAGGGAAAGTTCAATGGCAGAACTCCAGCCATTTCTACTGGGCACATCTCGAGCAGATAGAACAAAGCACTTGAAAATAGCAGCACATGTCCTCCGGGGCTCTGCCCAACCTACTTTCTAAACATCCAGAGATGAGGTCCCACCACTAACACAAAGGAGCTGCTCCAAAGCTGTGCCTGGCCCTCCTGCAGCCCCTCCCCACCCTCAGGGCTGGGGGAGGACGTGCTGCTGCCACAAGGTGCGCTCCTGGGCTGCAGGCACCAGGGAACTCCTGCACCGCCCCGGCTGGCTCTAGGCACCCAGCCCATGCCCTATCTGCCTCCCCTGGCGGGGGGCTTTGCTGCAGCACCGCAGCAGCAGGTGGAGCAGCAGCACCTGAGTGGAAAGCCCAGCCAGGCTGTGAGCTGAGCCAGCCTCTTGCCTGCAGGAGGCACAGCACCCCCACACGCAGAGCCTCCCCCGCCGTGCAGCACCCAGGAGCACAGTGTGCTGTAGGGTTTTGTATCAGGGCTGGAAGGAGGGGGCTAAAAATTCTCCCTGTCTGTCACAGTGGCTGTAGCTGTGCAGGATGTGCCAGCAGAGCACCTGAATCCAGTGCGGGACGGGCCCTGCAGTGGCCCAGCGCTGGGGCTGCAGTGGGGCAATGGCCACAGCAGGAATGAGCCCCAAGTGCACGGGCACTGGAGCATCCCCTCCTCCTTATGGAAGGCAGGGTACATGGAGCCCCGATTTCAAGGTTTTCACATATCTGTAGATGCTTTGGCAAGAACAAAGCTTTGAGCCAGAGCTGCTGCCAAAATTGCTTACTTCAGAGTCAAGCTTAAATGGAGTTTGATTTGATATAGAGTGTGGGAATTAGCTTAAAATGTCTTGCATTAAAGGGCTGGGCATGCTATAAATGCAAGCTGAACATTTGCTTACTTCTGAAGTTTCTGTGGAAAAGAATGGAAAATCAGAAGCAAATGAATGTGGATTGGCTTCCCAGCAGCAGGACAGCATGTGCTGTGCTGTGGCCTTGCTGGCAAAACTCATAGTGACCTCTGCAGTGGGTTGCTGTAGGTTTCCTCCTGATCTTGGTGCATGGCACAGGGACATGTGATATTTCCAAGATCTAAGGGTCCTTCAGAGGTTCATTTTTCCCTCTCCGTGCAGGTAGGCAGCACGCAGCACTGCACACTGCTGAACTCCATGCCCCGGGGCTGACCCTCCCAGCGTGCGGCAGCGCTGAGCTCCTGCCATGCAATGCTGATCGGGTTGGACAGACCATATTGTATTTTTCATGCCCTGGATCTCATTCTGCAGTTGCTGCTTTGCAATATGGGGCTCACTGAGCAACTGAAATCACCGCTGTGTGGCTCATAGGGGTGATCCTGCCCCAGTTGTATCTCTGCTCAGTGATGAGGCAGATTTCCTAAGGCCATACTTAAAACAGAAATGAGCCCATTCAATACAAGGGTCTGTATGGTGCATTTTCTGTTTTTGCAGTGCTGGGGCTCTCAGCCCAAGCCTGCAACAAGAGGCAGTGGGGCCAAACAGAGGCATGGGTGCTGTCCTGCGGGGCTGTGGGTGCAGAGCTGCTGCCCTGCAGCCACGTCCCTGTGGAGCACAGGGTGCAGAGCCCAGGGCTCTGTGTCCCACGGGTCATGGGGCTGGTGCTGCTGGGGTGACCCACCGAGCTGTGCTCTGACTGTGAGCCCTCTCTTCTCCCTCAGGCGTGGGCTGCAAATTCAGTTGCGATGGAGACCGTGTCCCTGGAGCACCAGATCCAGAGTGTGCAGAGGCACATTGCTTTCCTGAAGAAGGAGCAGATGGAGCTGCTCCATGGCCTGCATCTGGAGATCCTCCGCCTGCAGAAGCACTGCTCAGGTGAGCACTGGGCACTATGGCACAGGGAGCACAGCACAACCCATCCTGCCCTCAAAGACAGTCCTATTATTAAAACATAGAGCTGGTTCTCCCTTTCTCCCAGATGCCATTTGCCCAAGAGAAGGAAAATGGCTGAACTCCACTGACGATGGATGAGCAGGCATGGGACTGTGCTGAGCTCCCTCTCAGAATTGGAGGAACGTGGGTTCCTGGGCTGGGGCAGTTCCCCCCGTCCTCCTGCCCACCCCTGGAGTCCACCCCAGTGGCTCTCATCAATAATTCAGCCTGGCCAATTACTCATTGTCTTCCAGCTCCTAATCATCACTGATTCCCGGGAAACAGAGACATGAGGGCATTTCTAAAATTGTCCATTCCCACCCATCCTTTCTGAGCTTTTGCTGTTCCATTTCATTGTTTTAATAGCTGTATCCATGCCTCTCCTGATACGTGAGGCCAGGGGACCCTCAGGCATAAATCATACGGGGAGGTTCTGAGCTGCCCTGGCAGCAATGGCCCTGTCCCATTTGCTTTTTGCAACAAGCACCATCCCCCATCCATGAGGCACACGGCTCTGCATCTGTGGGGTATGGTGGGTCCAAGCTCTTACGTAGCTCTGGGGTGACCTTGGATGTATTTGCAGTGCCACTGCCTGCTATTCATTTGCACGAGGGAGGTAGATGGGTCAGTCAGCACTTTCCTGCCTGGTCCAGGCATGTAGGTTATTGCTGCACCTGTATGTGCTGCTATGACCTTGGGTTTTTGCATCATGACCTTGGTGTCTCAGTGGACTCACCGCCAGCAGTGCCTGTCCTCCTGCAGCTCGGCTTCACAGCTGTGCACCAATGGAGCGCCGACAGCTGGAGAGGGACTGCAGCACCCACTGAGCCCTCTGCTGCACTGCCAGCACAGGACAGTGGGATAGCAATCCCCCAGCTGCACCATGGGGTCAGGGGAAGCCGACCCCAGTAAAGTCCCACAGTGCAACATCCTCGGATGGAGGCTTTGCAGGAAGACAAACGCAGCAAAGCAGCGTAGAGTGATTCATCTGCTGGAAGGATCCTCTCATTACAGCAGTGCTGGCTCCCCTCCCACTCCCATTTTATTTGCAAAGTATAAACACAGCAGAAATAGCAGTAGATCCTTTCAGACTCCTCTGTTTCTCCTTTTACTGGAAGATGAGCTCAGCTGCTGTGGCAATAATTAGCACATCCCAGTGTTAGCAGAGCAGCAGGAGGAGAGCAGTGCTGCCCGGAGGGGCCGTGGTGGCAGTGAGGGCTCCACATGGTGCTGGGCTTTGGGGATCTTCACTGCGGGGCCCAGCAATGGCCTCTGCTGGAACCACATCGTGCAGAGAGGGCATCACAGCCACTGCTGCATGTGGCTGCAGCACCAGTGGGGACACAGGAGCCTGACACCCATAGGAAGGAGGGCACATGTGGGGCCAGTCGTGGGAGCGACACAGGGAGGGATTCAGAGGCACAGGCACCCCAGCACAGAAGCGGGGACCCCGTCCTGAGCATCACTGTGCAGGCAGCAACATCTTTTCCAGCAGGAGACGGCTTTAGGTTTCATTTGGAATCTCTCTGAGACTCCAAACCCATTATTTTAACTTCGGTAAAATAACACAGCTGCCATTGATTTTCCGTGGGGCAGGCAGGAGTGCTGAAAGCTTTCCAGAAATTGCATTACGTTCTCTATTACTCTGCATTCTCACCACAGATTTGTTTTCCAAGTCAGACGGCAGAGCAGCCTCAGCCAAGAGCTCCGTTTCAGGGTGGCGGTGATGGGGATTAGAGTCAACACGAAAGCAGATTAAAAGAAAAATGTAGGGCAGAGATTAACCGTTTAAATTCATACTCAGAAGACAAAAAGCTCGGGGATGACGGAATGCTGCCGTCCCTCTGCTCCTCCTGTTTGCTGGTGGTTTGGTGGTCTGTGATATTCGCTGAGAAATTGTGTGGGGTCCGTGGGGCTGTGGTTGCTGTGGGTCTGCTTGCATCACGCACAGAGGCAGAGATCACTCTGCGGGCAGTAAATGATGAAATACTTCAGGCGGCAGTTTAGATTTGGTCTATTTTCAGTCCATTGCTTCGCTCTTGTCCTGGTTTAAAGCGCCGAAGATGGTTCAGCAGATAGGAGCTGCAGAGCTCCCAGCACGGAGCGCTGCCCGCCGCTGCTGCCCGCATTGCCGCTCCGTGGCCGCTCGCGGTGGCAGAGAAGCAGCGCTGCGCCGCGTCTCACTGCCGTCTGGTTTCTCTTCCAGAGCTGACCCACGACCTTGAGATGAAGGAGCTGGAGGCCCGCCAGCAAGGTGAGAGCAGTAAGTGTGCGGGGGGACGGCTGCAGCGCTCCGAGGGGTGGGGGGCCCAGCGGGAGGACGGGGCCTCCGGCCTGAAGGATCGCTGGGGCTCTGTGCTCAGATAGAACGGCCCTGAGTGCCCGTGCCGATGCCCCAGGGAGGATTTGCATATGAAAGCAAGCATTCCTCGGGTTTGCTTTGCTAATCCCCTTACACAGAGCCCGCAGGGGCACTGCAGATCCCCGGGGAGCGACTCAAAGCTTGCAGACCCCTGAGCCCCGGGAGAAAGCAAACACAGACAGTCGGTGACCCCTGCACTCCCCCAACCCCTGTGCGCTGTCCTGGGCATTTGGAGGTCAATTCGGAACCTCTTCCAGTGACGTTATGTAACATTACATCCCATGAGAAAAAACTCCATGCGTTCCAAAAAAAGGGACAGAAAAGTCCTGGCGCACTCAGCACGGCGAGCTGCGTGGCACTGAGCCCTCATCCCGTCCCTCCCTCGTGTCCGGGCCCAGCACTGCCCAGATGCCGTGCCCAGCAGAGGATGCTATGGAAGCAGCTCCGCCTCCTCTCTGGGTTGAAGCCAAACCCCATCCCTTCGCCGTCCCAGCACGATGCCATGGCTGCATGCCGCGGGCTCGGCTTCTCTCCCTGCCCGCCCGGTGTTAGCAGCGCCAGTGCATGGCAGCGACCATCGCCTGCACAGCACCACCCGCAGGGCGCTGCCCGTCAAGATGCCTTAACGGCTCCAAAAGAGTACAATCCCATTTGCTACATTTATGGGGCAACAGCCTAAATTAAGATGCCGCCAAATGATCACTCTTCAAATACCACTCAGTAATAATTACTGCGTGCAGCTTCTTTCCTTAAGATCTCATTATAAAACATTTCTCCTTTGCAGAAAGTACTTAAGAGCCAAAGCTGTAAAGCTGTTGCAGTGTGTATCACAACAGGCAGAGCTTCCTGCAAGCTGTGGGATCACGCCTGGGCACGCTGTGTGCTGTGCAGGGCTGTGCATCCACCTCTCCGGCTGTGCTTGAGCGGCCGCCTTCCACCACATCCCCCTGCCCCACACTGCTCACATCTTCACAACACCTCTGATGGTGGAGTGCAGGGAATGCCGCGTGGTGCCACATCCCTGGAGTCCCCACACCAACAGTGTGTAGTTCCCTGTAGAACTGAGAATGCTCTTTATTGAAAGGCGGCAGCCTGAAGCCACAACCCCCTGCACCCAGCCCTCAGGGAGTTGGCGGGGGCTCAGGCCAATTGGGGCACCTGGCCTGGTGCTGAGCTCGTGCTCGTGTTCCACAGAGGGCATTGGCATGTACAGGAAGGTGGGATAGGTGGGTGGGAGCCAGTGCCATGCTCCTGCGGGCAGCAGGAGCCGCAGTGGAGCAGCCCACACAGCCCAGGCAGGGCGGTACAGAGTGTGCAGGAGTCACAGGCAGGGCTTGTGTGAAATCACTGATCTCCAGGTGTTGCTGGGTGACTCAGAAAGGCTGGGGCAGGCAGGGCACGGTCCCCACTCCTGGCTGGGAGCCGTGGGGAAGTGCTGCCTGCTGCGGCACCACTGCTCGAACATGTCCTGCCAAGGCCCGTGCCTGGCAGTGACTGCTGCAGTGCAGAAAGAAGCTGAACAGGTTGGGTGTTCGGAGCAGGGAGGCAGCATGGGGAGCGCATCGCAGCTGGCAGCGCCTGTGCAGAAGAGCTCAGATCCCTCCTGCACGCTCAGCAAGGAGAGCAGCAGGGAAAACAGCTTCAGATATATGGGCTCCTGTGTGCCCATACATATACGTGTGTATGTGTATGCCCCCAGAAAAACACATACACGCATTTATGCTGAGGTGCTCAGCTGAGCCTGGCCCAACTGCCCGGTAATCCCAGATTAGCATTCTCTGTTCTCTACTCTGGCTTTTCAGTCTCTTGGCACAAGGGCAGCAACACCCTACGTGCTGGGCTGATGTTCTTACTGCTGGGCTTTACTCTTCTCTCCCAGCCTGAAACCGTCCACATGCAGAGGGGACCACGGGGTACAGGGAGGGGCTGCGTGCACTGGGAGGGAGCCTCTGCTTGGGCAGCCCGTGGGCGGCTTTGCAACCACGACTCCCAGAAGCACGCAGCACCCCACGGCACGGCTGGGACATGCCGGCACCCCGCGCGGCCGCCCCGTGCTGGGAACCGCGCCGCGCACGGAGCGAAGCTCCCCTAACCGCTGCCTCCCCGCAGACGCGCTGGACCGGGAGCTGGAAGAGAAGTGCCGGGCGATGGAGGCTCAGCTGCAGGAGAAGGAGAAGGACAACCTGGAGCTGCGCAAGGAGCTGCGGCACAAGGAGACGCTGGTGGCCGCGCTGCGCTCCAGCCTCCGCAGCAAAGAGCGGCGCTTCCTGGAGGAGCTGAAGCGGCGCAGCCACCGCGTCACCATCCTCGACACGGAGCTGCAGAAGCAGACGGAAGCGGCCGCCTACCTCTCCCTGCAGCTGCACGCCACCGCCCAGCGCCTGCCGGGCCCCCGCAGCGGCGGGCGGCCGCCCCCCGCGCAGCCCCCGGCCGAGGGCAGGCAGCCGCGCCGCGGCCATAGGGTGCATCCGCGGCGCCCGGCCGGGGTCGGCGCCCGGCCCGGGGACCCCGCGCGCGAGGAGCACGACGCCATGCCCGACCCGGCCCTCTTCCTCTACGCGGCGCGGCCGCCCGCCCCGCAGCGCCCGTCACCGCCGGAGCCCCACGCCGGGCCCCGCCGCGCTGCCGCGGTCCCCCGAGCGCAACGGCTGCCCCAGCCGCCGCCGCAGGAGCCCGAAGCCGGGGCTCGGCCAGCCAAGGGCGAGCCCGGCAAGCGGCCGGGGCCTGGGCCCCGCGGTGCCCGCGCGCGGGAGTGAGCATCGAGGCGGGCACGGCCCGAGCGGCTGGGAAGGCGCTGACCCCGGAGCACCGTGCTGAGCAGCAGCCGAGGTCGCCGTCCCCCGGGAAGGGGGCAGGGGAGGCAGCGCTCCGCTCTCGGCCCCGCGCTGAGCCCGCCGGGCTGCGCCGTGCGGAGCGGGCTGGGGCAGCGCTGCACGAGGCTTGCCGAGGGGCGACGAAGGAACGAGGCTGGGACGAGGCTGCTGCAGGGGTCCCCCAAACCGAAAGGTGCCCGTCTGCAGCACCCGGCGCTGCTCCCCGCCGGAGCACGGCTGTGACCCACGTCACCCGCACGGGGTGTCCGCACGCCAGCACCGTGTTCCTCATCGGCACCTACAGCCGGCTGCTGTTTTCTCACCACAGACTGAAATCATGTCAGCAAGGCACTGGCAAAGCGGGATCTGGTGCGCTGCCACCCACGGGGCAGAGCTGGCCACAGTGCAGCCCCATCAGGAGCAGAGGCTGCAGATGACGCTTTGCCTGCGGTGTCCGAACCATCGGAGCCCACCTCCCTCGTGCTCAGTTCAAACCCCTGGGAAAGCATGGTCCTCCTTCTGAACCATCACCTGCCTCCAGCCCGCAGAGCGCCATGCAGCCAGAGGTCTCTATTTTTGTAGCTCGGTGTTTGTAACTTACAATGCTTTTAGGAGACTCTCAGTCGCAGTCTCAGGCCAGCTCTCCAGATGGTGAAATCAAACCCCAAAGTACGATCAGCTCTGCAGGAGGCGAGCAGCTTTCATGCTGCCCTTTGGCTGTGATGGGCACCCACTGGGAGAAGTGTCCAACTCTGGTGGGAGGCCCCCCCCAGTGCCCCCAGTGCTGCCCCAGCAGCCTCTGGCCATGCTCCCAGAAAGGCACTGCATGGCAGTGGGTGAGACACAGCCTGGCATCTTGTGGGTAAACCCCTCCCGGCCTTGGGACAGGGCTGCTCTTCCCGGGCTCTGAGTGCTTCTGCTGAGAGCACGTCCCAGTGTTCTTTTAATGTGAAAGAGGGTAAAACATCTCTGTGCGTCCCTGTGCTGTGATTTGCACAGCTGGTTCCCCCTCATTCCTAGACAATCCTGATACACAGAGCGTGTTGCATTTTTATTATAAAGTTATTGATAAAATCATGTTGTTCATGACCAACCTGAGCATTAGAAAGGGGAGGCCGTGTAAGTACCCTCCTGTTCTCTGTAAATATCTTCCTAACAATCAGCATTTTTAGTGCCTAGTATGTAAATGAAGCAACCCTGTGGGAGCTGCAGGACCCTTCCCCCTTCTCAGCCATCAGCTCTGAGTTCCAGGGGCACATCCCATCTCAGTGCCTCATGGCTTCTGCCCACCCCATGGCAGCCTGAATGGGCAGGGAGGCAGCAGGGCCATGAGAGTCTGGAGCCAGCCCTGAGCTGGGAAGGGCCGGCCTCATGCACTGCACTGCGGTCACTGCTGCTCCTGAAGGGGGGAAGCTCTAGAGTACAATATATACGCACTTATATATATGTATACACATAACGCACTTGCTTTGAAGGGAAAACACTGTATGATTGTAATAGAAATGATGTTGAAATAAATTATTTTAATCTTTGTATTTATATAAAATGTTCGACGAGATCTAAATGATCCCAACACCCAGAAAGGCAGTGCTCCTGTGTTTAACCTGTGGGATGCTGCTGGGTGCACTGAGCTCACGGAGCAGCAGGGAGCCCCAGGCAGTGCCTGCCCTGCCCATGTGTGCAGGGGGTCCACTGCCCCCAGCTCTGGCTGCAGCACAGGGCAGTGCCCCATCACTGCATTGCTCAGCGCTGCTCAGCTCCGCGTGAGTCGGGGCGGTTAGCTGTACGTTGTGCTGCAGAGCTCTGTACATGGACACGTATAGACTGGGAGTGTAACTGCTGACACCTACATGCTCTGTATGGAACAAGCAATGTGTAACGTTGACGCATAAAGCTATTAGACTGGAAATGGATGCATAGCAATAATGCTCCATTGTTAAACATTACCTGATATATATAAAACAGCATGTTGGCAACTCCTGCGTGCAGACCAACAGCCAGGCACTGCTCTTGCACCCACTGCTGCTGTTCTGCACTGCTTGCAGCCCACTGTGCCTGGAGCACTGGTGTAGTGATCATCCTTCCTGCTGTGCTGCAGCTGCTCTCCAAGGAGGGCACCCTGTTGCACAACCTCGCAGCAGAGGCAGAGGAGCTGTGCATGTGGCAGAAGCAGCCCCACGGTTTACACAGTGCCCCAGGCAGGCTGCTTGGGGAGCTCTCCTTCTTGACCCCATTAATTAAAAAGCCTTATTTTCTGAATGTGCTTGCTGGGGCTACCTAAGCACCCCTGGCTATATCCTTCCTGCTTTGGTGGTGTGCTTGTTGGGGCGCTCAGCAGCGCCCTGACTTCATACCACCCACCAGAAGTGTCAGTGCTGTCCTGCACAGCACAGCCTGGCAGAGCCCTGCCTTAATCCCCGGGGAGCGAGGCTGCATGGGCCCAATGCCCATCTGAAGTGCTACCACCCTCCTGGCAGAGCGCTCCCTGATTGCATCCAGCCTGCCAGCTGGCGTCCCACCCCTCTTGCACATCAGGAGGAGCTGCCCACACCCAGGTCCAGTCCGGTTGCTCGTTTGACCAAGGCAGAATTCAAGGCTTTCTGCAGGCTGCCCTTTCAAAGATCCACTTTCCCATCACTGCAGTCACACCAGTAATGATATGCCAAGCCCTGAACTCCCGCATCTTCCTGTGTCTGTAAAGCCAGACCTTCTTCCCGAGGTCCGCAGGCGGATGCTGAGCCACATCTCCCCGGTGGGTGCAGGGCCACGTGCTGGGACCGCTGGGGCTGTGCAGGAGCCTGCTGTCCCACCGGCTCTGCAGAGCCTCAGGCTGGGCCCTGCACTCAGTTGCCCTGGCTCGAGCAGCTGCAGCTCCATCAGAGCAGAGCAGGGCATTCTCAGCTGGACGAGCAGAGCTAAGCGGGGCAGTGGCACCGTGTGCCTCCTGCTGGGAGATCCACGGCGATGGGAGGGAGCCAGCGCTCTGACACTGCGCTGCTTTATGTGAGGGTGCAGTTTACTACATGGCACCATTATTCACCCGCACCACGTTCACGTTGACTTTTTTAACCAAGTGCTTTTCAAAACGTATTCTCTACGTACCCAGAGAGCAGAGAACGGAGCTGTGAGCTGTACGTGAGAAGCCACTGCGATACCACTATTATTTCTTGATGAAAACAATGCAGTCCCTTTGGAGTTGCCCTTTCCTGCCCCAGCGCAGCCCCCTGAGCTCCCACCGGCAGCAGCCCCGTCCCACAGCCCCGGGCTCCAGCTCCGTCACGGCTGGAAGCCGAGCGCCCCGGTCCTCATCCCCATCCCCAGCCCGGTACCCGGACACAGCTGCGGGCCGGCCGAGCTCCGCGCTCCCGGAGGCCCCACGGCCCGGTCCCGCCGCGGTGCCGCTGTTCCCGGCCCACCTCGTGGCGCGGCGTCCCGGGACGCAAACCGAACGGAATCGGCTTTTGGCCGTTCGTTTTTCACTCCCGAGGAAGGCGGCCGCCCGCGTCCCGGTCCCGCCCGTCCCCCGCCCGTCCCGCACGCAGCGCTCCGGCGGCACCGCAGCCCCGGGGCCCCGCGCGCGACCTTGCAGGCGTCGGGAAGGTCGGCAGCGGCCCGCAGTCGGTCCCAGCCCGCCCGGCCCGCGGTGAGGCCCGCCTCATGCCCGTGCGCCGGGCCCGGGCCGCGGCAGCGCGGGGCAGCGCGGAGTCGACCCCTCCCTGCCCGTCCGGCCCCGCCGCCCCGCGCCGCGTTCCGCCTTGGCCGGCCCGCCGCGCCCCACCCCGCCCCCCGCCCTGCGCGCGCGCGGCCCCTTTAAGGCGTTGCGGGCGGCGCGGAGGTTGGTCCCGGGCCGCGCGCCGTAGCGGGGTCGCCGCACCACGTGGGCCGGAGCGGCGCTGTCCTTCGCGGCGCGGCGGGACGGGACACGGCGGGCACGGCGCGGGGCGCCCATGGTCAGCAAAGCGGACGAGATGCCGCCGGCCGCCGTGCCGGCCTCCGCGCAGGGAGGAGAGCAGCAGGAGCCGGGGCCGCGCGGCAGGAGGGCGGCGGAGGCCGAGCGGCGGCCCGGTAAGGGTAAGGGAAAGGGAGGAGGGGGCCGCGGCGGGCGGCCTGGACGGGACCCGGGCCGGATCGCCGCGGGACGCCGCCGCCTCGAGGCGCGGGGCCGGCGCAGAAGGAGCCGCGGCCCGGCCCGCGTCGGCGCGGACGCGGAGGCCCCGGGGACGTCGCGAGCGGTGCTGGCCTTCGCCGCTGCGCTCCCGCGGCCCGGCGGTGACGGCGCGGCCCGGGAGGATTGGGGGGATTCCGCGACGGCGGCCCGGGGCGGTGGGGCCTCCTCGCACCGCGCCGCGGGGGCTGCGCTCGGGGCCGGAGGGAGCGGTGGAGCTGGGGGGGTTCGGTCGGGCCCCGCGCTGGACGGGGGACGGGGCGTCGGAGCAGCGGGGGCGGCCGGGCGCGTTCCGTCCCGGCGCGGCGGCACGGGGAGCCCCGGCCCCGTGAAGGTCACCTTCAGCGGACGCGGCGCGGCGCGCCCGGGGGGGGTGGGGGGCGGCCGGGAGGGGCCCGCGTTCCCCAGACTCCGGCAGCCGGCGGCGGCGCGGGGCTCCGGGCGCCGTCCGGGCCGGGCGGGGGGCGGTGGGGCCTTCGCGGCCCTCCCCGGGCGGCGGATCTCGGTGTGGGCCTGGGCGGAGTGCTGGGGAGGCCGCTCCGTGCCGCGCTGGGAGCCGTGCGCTCCAGGTCGGCCCCGCTCAGCACCGCCGTGTCCGAGGTCAGCTGAGAGCCGGGACCCTGCGTGCGAAGCCCGGCGCCGAAGCCCCTCCCGTAGCGCCGGAGCTGCGCGCTGTGTGGGGCCTCGCGTGGCCGTGGCGCGGCCCTCGTCCCTTACTGCTGCCTGGCCCGGCTCGGGTCTGCCCGGGCCCTGCGGGCTGCCGTGAGGTCACTGGGTGTTGGTGTCCGCAGGGTGACTGCAGAGGGATGCGTATGTGTCTGTAAGAGATAATCTCATAAGGGAGTTATCTTGGGGCCACAAAGATGCAGCTCGCCTCGTGTGCTCTTCTAAACTGAGTTGTGCTGGGGCCGGTGTCACGGTATGGTGGTGTCTTTGTAATAGGTGAGAGACAACTGAACCGCCGTGAAATTGTGAACTACAAGAATCTGTCACCTCAGAGAATGCTCAAAAGCAGATGTGTGGGATTTCCGGGGAAGAGCAGATAGCTCATGAGAGATCTTGGCTGAATGCTGTGTGCTTTGACTCGTTAAAGCCCCAACAGCAAATAAACGAGGGGGGCAGCGACGTGGGCAGCCCTGCGCCCTGACCTGGGCACTTTGCATCTGCTTCAGGGTGTGGGCACCGGCCCTGCCCAGCATTCTGGGTCATCCTGGGCTCAGAGTGCCATACCTCCAAGAGGTGAGCGTCCCAAGTGCTGCTCTGCAGCTCGGCCTGCTGCTGTGCTCGGTAACCTGCAAAAAGAAGAGTAAAAGTGTGGCACTGCGTGGCTGCTCCTCATAGGTCACATTGGCTGAGCAAGGGACTGCTGCTGCCTCCCTCTCCCGTTTGTATGGTGATGAGGTGACTTTTTGAAGTTTGTCACTCAAAGCAAAGTTCACTGGCGTTAAGGTTGGCAGGAATTCAAGTGTGTGGGGGAGAGCCTCCCCCGCCCCCCGTGCTCCATTTATTCAAATAGATGCCAAGCACAGCTCAGGTTAAAAAGTTACATCGTGTGATCCCTGCTCAGCATGAGCTGGGTCCTGGGGGAGGGAGGTAAAGCCTTCCCCTGCCTCATCCAGCGGGCTCTGGGCATTGCAGAGCTGGCTGAGGGCCCACAAAGCTGTGCTCCATCCCCATGTGCCCAGCACTGCCCATCAGGGTCCTGGCGGCTGTGCCACACAGAGGGGTGGCTGCTGGGGATGGGCTCCTGGATAACAGGATATGCTCTTCTGTTGTGCTAGTCATGGAGACGGGGGGGCTGCTTTCTTTGGCCTCTAAAGTGGCAAGAGTTGTGACTGCCCCTCTCCACCTTCAGACAGACAAATGTGCTGGGCTGCTTCATCCTTCTGGGTGCAAAAATATACAAATGCTTTGGGTACCTGCACTGATTTCCAGCAAGAGCAGTTATGGGTTAAGTTACCTCTCTTGTTAACTAGCACAAGATCAAAGGACAGCGACTGTGTGCAGCACTTTTGGACTATTTTTGTTACTGCAGTTGTCAGTGCTTCAGAACAAGCTTGTCTCGTGTGCAGGTTAGCAGTGTGTCTACCTGGCATAGAGTCCTTCCTGTCAGTGCTTTGCCTGGAGGCTGTTTTTTTCTAAGGAAAAGAGTTCCAGTCCACTTATGTATTCATTTACCTTCGCTGTTAAAAGAGCAGAGAATGAAGGTATTAATGGAGAACTGCTATGGAGGCAGTGCTGCTGTCTGTTAGCAACAAAGTCAGAACTCAGATTCCTAATCAGGGGATCTGCCGGCCCTGTCTGTTGCCTGACCTTGGAGGTTTGCTTATGGTTTGGAAGGGGCTGAATCGCTGACAGCTAGGTTTTCTAATGGGCGGTTGTAACACTTCAGGGGGAGAGCTGGACCATCACGCAGGAGGGAGAGGATTGTTGCTATGAGGCAGAGGAAAGGACTGTGATAACAGCAGCACATGTGTGATGAGGATGGGACATGAGCAAGGGGTGGTGTTTGGTGCAGCTTTGCTGGGGGGTGGCACTGAGCTCATGCTGAGAGCCGGAAGCTCTCAGCTATCCCCGAGCAGCATTGCTCTTGGGTTTCCCAGTTAGAAAGTGGAAGTAGGTCAGGAATATGCACACAGAGAGGTGCAGGCACATGGCTGCCTTCTGCACAGTAAAAACAACTTTGTGTTGCAGAGAACTGTTTGACTTAGCAGTCTGTAAATGACTGGGCTTGGCAGCGTCCTGCTTGCTCTCCTGCATCATGCTGCATTAGCTGTACTAGAAAGCTGTTATTTCTAAAAGTTTTAAAGGTCTGAAGTTCATGCGTTTCTTTATTTGCATTTGAGGAGTAAAACCGGTCCATGGGGCAGTGTTTGCACACAGTGCTGATGCTGCCTGGATGTTGGGTAGTGGTGGTGCTCTGGAGGTGCATCTGCTGCAGTGTGGGGCTGGGCAGGGCTGGGTCTCCCTAGGCAGTTGAGTTTTCTTCTGTATTTTGCTTTTTTTTTTTTTTAAACTGACTCCAAGACGAGAGGTTATCTGGTGTTTTTTGTGACAAATCAGCTTAAATGCACTTCTAGAGGTGATGAACCTTCATCTTTGAGTGGGAAAATGGATCCACGCTGCAGAAATGAACACCAGAGCGGTCTGAGGAAAAGACCAGCTGAGAGTCCAGTGAGGCGCGATTCCTTGTGCCTAAGTAACAGTAAAGTAAGGGCATGGTTTAAAACCAGAGCATTGTTTTTAGTTTGTATTTCTTTCTTATTTTGCTTCAGCTGTAACCTTGGTGTTTCTGTTGGCATCAATCTTTGCCCTTTGCTTTTAGTCTAGTCTTCGCTCCCACCTTGTGCTGGCTGAACTGCTATAGTGATCTGTAGCAGTCACCTCACTGCTCTCAGAACAATGTTTCTGAAGTTTTGGACAAACTGAAAACTCATGAATGGGCTTAAATTTGTTTCAGAGAACCAGTGAGGCAATGCAGGATGCAGAGCATGCTGTGTTCTGGTGGCTCAAAGTGCTGTAGCTGTGAGACCTGTGAATGCCCCAGGGCTGTGAGGCAAACGTTGGTAAAAAAACAAACAGCCACAGACCTTGGAATCAGTCTGAAACATGGCTTAAATTGTGTAGGTCTGTGTGGCCAGATTTTTGCTTGGATGCTCATGCTGAGTGGTTGCCCCTCTTGCTCCCCATGGGCTCTTCAGGACAGGCTGTGGCCTCGCTGTGCTCCCTGTGCCGGGCAAATGTGGTGTGGGGTTGCTGAGATCTAACATCAGTGCTTAGAGCTCTTCCCACTGGTGGTTTAAAGCCAACTGAAGCTTAATGACAGCCAGAGAGCAGCTCTAACCCTTCACTGTGGGCTCTTATTAAAAGGAGCGCTTGTTGCTCTGAGGAAGCTCTGCAGGTCTCTGGGAAGCTGTGGTTTCCTCTAGGAGGTGAGGGAGACTGTGCTGTGTGTTCTCCTACCAAAACATTTCCACTGGGGCCATCTGTGATCAGTGTGGCTGTTCATTTATTTGGATTCAGTAAGCTATTTATTTTTGATTAATTTGTTATTAGGCGGAAATGAAATTTGCATTTGCTAGACCAGCAGCAGCCTTCTTGTGCTAAAGCCATCGTGCTGCAGTGCTCTCACTCTGGTTTTGGTTGCACCAAAGCCTCCCGGTGCTCGTGGAGCAGACCTCTTGCCCATGAGGAGCTTTGCCCCCTCCCAGGTGGGGCCCACAAAGGAAGCCCCTCTGGGGCCATTGCTGAACAGCCCTGCTTTTTGATGCTCCTGCAGTGTCAGCCTGCGGTTGGGTCAGTGCTGCACAGAGCAGGAGGGTGGGAGTGGGAGGGGTGCACATAATCCCATTTGAGTATGGGTGGCTTAGTTGTTCTGCTATGTGCCTTCTGAGCACAAGGCATGCTGGCAGTCTTATTTCTACATCATTAAATCCCATTGCATCACTAATACAGGATGGCGTCGTATTGCTTTTCCTCAGTGTCTTTTATCTCTGCGGATTGCTGCATGTGAACTATTGCACAGCATCAGCCACCTGTTGGATGTGGCCGCCTCTCCTCGGAACCAGCGCGTCTCCAGCTGACGAGTGGGCAAGCTGCTTCATCAGACTGGGCTTGCATGGCTATTATGGGGTGAAGTAAGCTCTGCTGAAATGTAATGATGTATTGTCATTAAACTTAGTGACTTTATTAATTGCAACAAATTGTACTTCAGGTGATCTGCTTTGAAATGTAACCCAAGCTGGGCTGCCCTGTCCTGCACTGAGCAGCTCGGACCTGCGGGCACCCGGGCTGTGCTGCGCTCCTGGCCAGGAGAGAGTTGGCACCGTCCGCACATTAAACTCTTTCAGAAATATCAGGAATACTTTCAGTTGTAGATGCAGATGTAACCTGAGACCTGATGTTAGCTCCCGAGGTCAGAGACTTCATGTTACCAGGATTTCAAGGTTAGCTTCTCTCCTGCTGTGGAATTGTTTGAGGAGAGCAGCTCTTCTGAGAGGAGGATGTTGGCCATAGCCAAGGTTTCTCTGTTGGCTGGGAGGGTAACTTTGAGGGCTTGAAAGGATTTGAGTGGGAGAGATTTCTCCTGTTTCCTTTTTCTGTTCTTAAAACAGAGGAAGAGAGACCATTTCATGTGAGATCCCCGGCTCTGCTCTCAGCCAGCCATTGCTTTTCTCCTCAGCAGATTGGTGCCGAGGCATGAGGCACTGCAGGCAGCCTCAGTCTTCCCGGGGCTCCCTGCTGGGGGTCTCCTCCTGGGTGTCAAGCCCTGGCCGGTGGTTCCATGAGCTCTGCACTCCTGGTTCTGCTCTGGTTTTGGGAATGTGATCGTTGTTGAGGCCAGAGCTGTGCTGCTCGGCAGGGGAATGTGTGGTACCCCTCCAGAGGGGCCATGTGTGCACGGGTTGCCCCAGCTCTCACTGCTTGCACAGGGCTCAGACTCTGTAATCCCCGCATCGGTTGCTGGGATTTACAGAAACAGCAGAGAGGAGTGGCTGGAGGAGGCCATCAGTGTGTTTTTGTGGCCGGTTTGATACGGTGGAGCAGTGTGAGAAGACAGAAAATGCGTCTGGGAAAACTTGGCTGCAGCTGCCCAGGCCCTTTGTGCCGCCTGCTCAGTATGGGCGGCCGGGCCCAGCCGAGACGCCCCGCAGCCACCCACCTCCTGTAACTCAGTGCATCTCCCTGCCAACAAGTTTGGCACAGCCGGAGCGCCTGTCCCATGCTGCACCAGTACAGTGCTTGATACAGCTCTCGTCTATTTATATCGAGCTCACGGAGCGGGGCAGTCGGCGGGCATCTGCTCTTGGAGCACATCTGAAGAACTTGTTGGGGAGACACACGTGTGCATCCGTCTGATGTGAGCGGAGCCGCGGCCTCCAGCTGCAGGAGCTGCTCTGTGCCTCGTGCGGTGGGTGAGGGTCGCTGCGGGTCTGGAGCGGGGGCTGCGAGGAGACCACGTGTGTGGGGTCGGCGCTGGGCTCCCCGCCCTGGGGTCGTGAGAGCATTTCTCAGGAGTCACAGTGACTGTGTGGGACAGATCCGGAGCGGGGAGGTGAGCTCTGCCGTGCGCCTGCTGGGAACTTAAATACATGCATGCGGACAAGACTTGCAGACAGAGCTGGCTGTTCTGAGCGGTGCTGTGTGAGCCGGAATCATGGGAAACAGCGCGGTGATGAGCTGCTGCAGGCGCGTCACCGAGCTCCTCTTCCCAGCGCGCGGCTGCAGCCTGCACGGTGAGCCCGGTGAGCGCTCGCCCCTCCTGAAGGCCCCGCCGAGTGCAGCCGGCTCTGCGGACGCGCTGGGAGCTTCGTGGGGCTCTGTGCCGTTCCCCGACGTCATCCCCAGTGCAGCGGCGGGAGGAGGCCTGCAGGAACGCATCGAACGTGCCCAGGCCCTGCCCGCGGGCGAGGGCGAAGCCGCAGTGTCTGCAGCCTGCAGCGACAGCTGTTCTGGGGCTGGCGGTGCTGCCCCGCTCCCTGCCGCCGTCCTTCCCGCCGACCTTGAGGAAGGGCCGTTGGAGCCGCTGTGCTGTGCCGCGCTGCCTGCGGCCTGCCAGGGCCACGTGAAACCTGAGGACTGCGGTGTGGCACGCGGTGCAGGGCCCGGGGCGGCCTGTGGGGTTCTGACCTGCAGTGCGCAGCCAGAGGGCCCCAGGCCGGGTGCAACCTCACTGCTGGGCCATGGGTCACAGCGTGCTGCCTCTTCGGAGAGCCCTGGCACGGCCCACTCAGTGAGGACCCGAAGGGCCCTGCATGGCCACGGCGTGGCTGCACCGTCTGCACTTGGCTGGGAGGAGGCCGCTGGGAGGGGGGCTGTGTGCTCCAGGAACTCCAGACCTGCAGTGCAGCTATCCAAGCAGCAGAAGAGGAGGAAAAAGAGGAAGCTCCTTCTGATAGGTGCATAGCGTGGGTCCCTGCTGTGCTTTGTGTTTCTGGTGGCCCTGTGTGCAGGGCTGGGGGCTACGTGTGCTCGTGGTGGGGTGGGAGAAGGGAGGGGAGGCTCCATCAGAGCCTGTGTGGGGGGAGGATGAGGAGGGTGGTGAGGTACCCCCTGTGGTACTCTCTCCTTGCCCTTGTTAGCAAGTGTGAGGATGGCTCTGTGGCTGATGATTGACTGGCTGCAACAAGGGCCAACTCCTGCAGCCAGAGCAAAGGAGCAGGAGCTGTTGTATGAAACTGTGGCTGTGCTGCATGCAAAGGAACCTTTGTGACACAGGTTCAGTGCTGTTCTGTGTCTGCTCTGTGCCTGGCGTGTGCACCTGGAGCTCAGCCCTGTACAGCCAGCAGGGGCAGGGCAGGAACCATGCTGCTCAGTGCTGGGAAGAGCAGGGCGGGGTTTGTGTGCCCCTGATGCAAGTGGGGCTGGTACCAAGAAATGCATTCTTAAACTCATTAATGAAAAAGGGAGCATTTTAGTCTTCAGATTTTTTTTATCTCTATGTTACTAAATGTAAGGAAGGAAGGCTGGAGGCATTGAATGCCGTTGGTACTGGTACTTCCCACACCCTCCAAACCAGACCAGCTTGCAGCAATACATTTTGACATGGCCATCAAAAAAATGATGCCTGACTTGGGCTAAGAAGATGTGTTTGAATGCTGAAGAGTTATTAACTCATGCTCTCCATGATCGCTCCATCACCATGTGTGCTCAGCAGCACTCAGACCAGGCAGGAGCTGGGCATTGAGCCGCCTGCCTCAGGCCATGCACACACACCTGCAGCCTCACTGTAAATAGCACCAGGACTGAAATAGCACGGTCACTTTGGGTGCTCGCTGTCTGGGAGCAAGGATGAAACCTAATCCTTTCCCTTGGCCTTTCTAGCAGGTATAAAATGCAGGTTAAGGAAACACATTTTCAGTGCTCCCCATGAAACGGTGTCTGTGCCACCTCCTCCCCTCTTCAGCATTTGGCTTTGCTGTTTTCCTGATACTTTCCCTAGTGTGCAGCTGCAGCTTGTTCCTGCCGTCACCAACAGCTGTCCCCTGACCTGCAGGCACAGGCTGTGATTTCTGAATTTCAGGCACGGTCCTGTGGGGCACTCCTTTATGGAGGTTTTCTCCCCAGAGCCTTGCCTTGTGCCCTGCTTGCCCGTGTCTTTGTCTGTCAAAGAAATGAACAGCTCACGCTGGGGACTTACACAAAGTGACAGGGAACATGAATGGCATCTGCTGCGATGTTGAAGGCAGCAGAAGCTGCTGAAGGTAGCTGTGTTTACCTGCTGCCTCTTGCAACGAGCACGCTTTCCTGGTGTTCCATGCAGCCTTTCACTCTGTGTAAGTTCAGCTGTGCCAGCCATCTTTGAGACGGGTTTCTCCGAGCGGCCTTTGGAGCAGTGCGGCAGGAGTTTGTGCTCTGTGCGGGGATGCTCCAGCAGGGCTCCTCCCTGCACGTGCAGGGGCAACAGTGCAGTAATCCCAGACCGGCTTGGTGGGTGCAGGCTGCTCTGGGAGCCTGTAGCTTCCTCAGTCTTCTCAGCTCTGACATCTCCACCTTGCTTCAAAAGAAAACAAACCATTGCAGAAACTCGGAGGGAGGTACAGAGCTCCCTGTCCCTGTGACGCATCTAAGTGAACACTTAAAGTGTCATCACCTTTTTCTTGAATGGAGTGGCTTAGGCGAAGCCTCATCCTGGCCCTGTGGGATATCCACAAAATATTCTGGAAATGTGGAGGGCGGTTTTGTTGTGTGCAGGGTGTGGAGCTGCCGGTGCAGTAATGCACTCCACGTGACACTGCTTTGCCTGCAGCTGAGCAGCTGTGCTGTGGAGGTGCGTTGGAGCCACGCAGCGTGTCGGTGCGGGGACAGCTGCCTCTGGCTGCGGAGCACCACACACCCATTCTTTAATTAAGAGACTTCTGAAGTCTAAGCCAAATGTGCTGTAAGCTGCCCCATCCTCCTGCTTCCGTCCCTCCCTGCTCCTCACGGGTTGTGGAAGGTGCAAACCCTGCAGGCGAGTGGGACTGTGTTGATATTGCAAAGGAAGGAGAGGGCAGGGCTTGGTGCACTTGTGTCCAGTAAACACTAACTGCAGAACAAAATGCTTTCTGCCTTTAACCCCTGGTTTTAATCCCTGGTTTGCTTGCCATCCTCCCCTCCCTGGTGTGCTGACCACTGTCCCTCTCTCCAGAGCACCCACCTGGCGTGGCACTTGTCAACGGCAGTGGCCCCCACGAGAGCCTGAAGGGTGAGAAGGATGCCAGGCAGAATGGACATGAGGAGGCTGACGCAGGGGAAGATGGGAACGACCAGGAGGTCATTGTCATCCAAGACACGGGATTTACTGTCAAGATCTGTGCACCCGGGATAGAGCCCTTCTCCCTGCAGGTACCTCTCTGCCAGCCGGGAGGGGATGAGTGGGGGCTGCTGAGGATCTCAGGCTGTGGGCTGGACATGGAGCGAGTTTCACGACCCCCAGAACTAGTGGAGGCAGAGGGCAGAGCACAGGGTCTGTGATTTGTTGTTTCCATGATGGGGTTAAGTGGAGAGGGAGACAGCAAAGCATGGAGGGTGCAGGAGATAAGCTCCTGAACCAGTGGCTTTTAGAGAGAAAGAAAAGAGTAGGTGATGTGAGCACAAAGCTGTTTGGCAAAGGCTGTGCAGGCTTTGGAAGGACAGAGGTGGGTGGGAAGTGGAATTAGGCAGGGTGTAGCTGCCCCATGTTCATCTCAGCAGGGCTCAGGGATGGAGATGAGCACCAAGGAAAGGACTTTCCCATTTCTGGGCTGTTTTTAGAAGGGATGTGAAAACGTGACCCCGGGGTCTGACTTAGGAAGGGAAAACCTCCTGCCTGCCCAGGGATTTTGACATGCTGCACCTTCTGGCTAAGATGAGTTTGGCACAGTGACATGTGCTGGTGCTGTTTGGGGAAGGCACACACTTGCCTGAACATCAAGGGAACAACACAGCTCCCTTTTTGTTTCTTCAGAGAGCTCTGCTGCATGCAGCAGTGTGTGTTACATGGGCCATGACGCCAGGACAGGCTTTGACATGCCCAGCTGATTCTGTGATTTAGCTCCGCACTTCACCGAAAACCATTTGGATGAAGTATCTTTAATATGGGGGGAGGCATTTTGAGTCTAAACCCAGCAGGAAGGAAGCCTTAGCTCCCCAAATCAGTAGAGAGAACAGTGAGATTACATTCCCCGTGGAAATAGCTGTATCTCAGGCAGCTTTTTTCTTCCTTTAAATCCCTTTGGCTGTTAGTTTTAATAGGCTAATAATAGCAGGCCACGTTGTTTACAGCAGCTTATGTAAACTACCCTCAGTCCTTGTAGCTTGAGAGCAACGTCAGTGGTGCTGGAGCCAGGGCAGGCAGGCAGGGGAGCAGCCCGGGACCACAGGTTCAGCATGGATCCTGTGTGGCTGGAGCCGTGTGTTCATGTGCCCGGAGGGCAGCACCATGCAGTGGGTACCACTGCAGGTGAGTGTAGGAAATGGCCTCTTCTCTTCTCACATCATTCTGATCCTCAGCACAGACATGCAGTGTGGATGGATAAGGGATGAGCCCCTGGTTTCCCCTCACCTTCATTTCCTTCCCTGCCCTGTGCTCAGCACAATGCAAGGCTGAGACACCTCCGGGTGCTGACCCTGCCAGAGGTGGCAGCTTTGCGTGTACTCCAGAGCAGCTCTACATGCCTGTTGCCACTGGAGCATGCTGACATGCTGAGTGTTGCTAGGAGAGCAGAAATGTCCCTAGTGTGTTTGTGCTCTTGAGTCTTCTTTGGATGCATGCTTGAGGGTGAGCTGGCTAAGAATAACTGGCTGGGTTGTTCCCTTCTTAAGGTGTCTCCTCAAGAGATGGTGCAAGAGATCCACCAAGTCTTAATGGACCGTGAGGACACCTGCCATCGGACTTGCTTCTCCCTGCAACTGGATGGCAATGTCCTTGATAATTTTGCTGAGCTGAAAACTATTGAAGGACTGCAAGAGGGCTCACTGCTGAAAGTGGTGGAAGGCAAGTTCCTTTGGGAGGAAGTGGTTCTGGTCACCTTGCAGCCCTTCCTTATGGTTCCTTTTTGAGAATTGTGCGCTGAAGCATTAAGCATCTGTGTAATTCCAGTTTTTTTCCTCCCTTTCTGCTTATCAGAGCCATACACAGTGCGAGAGGCCAGGATACATGTGCGTCACATTCGGGACCTTCTGAAGAGTCTTGACCCTTCAGATGCTTTCAATGGTGTGGACTGTAATTCTCTGTCATTCCTGAGTGTCTTCACTGAAGGAGACCTGGGAGGTATGGGGCAAAAAGGCTTATATGGTGTGGTCACTGTTCTCATTCCCCTGACTTCCTGCTTCATTAAAACACAGTGTAACAATCAGCTGGCCCACCTCACTCAGGAGTGCAGAGAAACACTCTGAGAACTTCTGCTTGAAGGATGGACTGGTACGTTTTTCAGCACTGATTTTCCATCTTTCTCCATTGTAGACAGCGGAAAACGAAAGAAAAAAGGTACTGAAATGGAACAAATTGACTGCACCCCTCCTGAACATATCCTGCCAGGTAGCAAAGAGAGACCCCTGTGTGCCCTTCAGCCCCAGAACAGAGACTGGAAGGTAGAGTTCTCCTGTGCAATTGCAACAGCTGTCGGCATATACCTTGCAGCAAACGTGTTCAGGGATTGAAAACTGCGCTGAGCTGGACTTTGGGATTTGCTCTGCTTGGTGCTTAATGAGTGCTGGAAAAGCACTGCTTAGCCAAGAGAATAAAGTCCAAGAGCCAGTGTGCAAAATGCTGGATGCAAAGTCTGGACATCTGCAGAGCATAACATGGCCAGTCTTGCTGGGGAGGGGAAGCAGTGAAGGGAGACCTGCATTGATTTAAAAAGTCCTGGAGACAGGATCTGCAGATCAGAGTACAGATTATTCTTAGGTTTCCCATGCCCTTGCACTTGGATTCTTGCTTTTAGAAGCTGCCATTTGAAAACCAGTACAGCAAGAAATGCATGCCTTGTGCAGCCCAGAGGCCCAGGGTGTCTGTTTTTACCTGTGTCTTATGTGTGAAAAGCTGCAAACTGAGGCAGATTAGTGGACTGCAAGTGGCTTCAGGAAGGCTATGCTATAAAGACCAATTCTTTTGTAAGCTCTGTTTGTGGAACCAAACAAAGGCAGCAGGTAAAAGGACTCTGGCTTGCGCATCAAGTGGCTCTGTAACTCAAGGGTATTAATTCCTACTGACAGGAACTGCTTCTATTGTATTCTGTAGCCTTTGCAGTGCCTGAAGGTATTGACAATGAGTGGCTGGAACCCTCCACCTGGTAACAGGAAGATGCATGGAGACCTCATGTATTTATACGTCATCACAGTGGAGGATCGACATGTCAGTATCACTGCATCCACTAGAGGATTTTACTTGAATCAGTGAGTAACCAGCATTCCTTCTACCCTTCCCTGCAGCAGAGATCTTGTAATACCCAATTGGAAAAGAACATGCAAAAAACGTGCTTGATTTTTTTTATTTTGATTGTTTTCTGTGTATGTGTGGAAAGCAGCTTATTTCAGTTCACTGCTCACATGGGGTTTGTAGGAGTTGTTCTACTGGATTGGGCTGTTTACTTATGCCTGGTACCACTTCTCTGCTGTGGATAAATGCCTGATGCTTTAGGGAAAGTTGAAACGTCCCATAATGACATCAACTAATTATAGTATTTTGAGTGGTGGAGGGAATTCCTTCCTGACCATTGCAACTAGCTCATTTTGCCCTAAAGGAAAAGCACAGTCTGCCAGCACTTCCTAACCTGGGCACAGGTTTGACTAGGATTTTTTTTCAAATAGTGTCTGTGAGAGACTGTAACTGCACAGTGCTGGGAATGTAAGAGTGACTGTATTGGAAAAAAAACAAAACTCGAGCACGTTTTTACCCTCTGTCCCATTATGAATTGGAACTGTTCTGTGTTACCCTGACTTGCGGAAAAAGTAGTTTGTATTCCATGGTTGCCTATGGAACCGGCAGTCTCAGTTATGACAACAGCATGTTTCTTTCCTCTTACAGGTCTACTGCATACAACTTCAATCCCAAACCTGCAAACCCCAGTTTTCTCAGTCATTCCCTGGTGGAACTACTTAACCAGATCAGCCCTACCTTCAAAAAAAACTTCTCTGCTCTGCAGAAGAAACGGTAGCAGCACTTCTTCCTCTCTAGTCACCTTTGGTGATGTGATGTTGCTTGGTGAGGCCAGGGTGCATGGCTGGTTTGTCCTCAGCAGCAGCTGATGCAGAGCAGACCTCGTGCTGCAGCAGGGTCAGACTGATAACCTCATCACTTCTCTCTGAATACAAAGAAACTGAAGCATAACATATCAGGAACCCTAACACACGATGGCTTTTCACAGGCTTACAGTGGAGCGAGAATGATTACTTGAAACATTTATGCATATTTCTTTTCTCTAATTTCCTTTTGCTCCTATATTAATAAGGAGCAATAATAGATTGTTTTATTTTCCTGTCCTTGCTGCAGGGACCATCTATTCTACTCCAGGACAGTGGATCCTTTGCAGAAGCCTGTCATTCTTTAGAGTCTGCTTAATGAACTGCCTCAGCTCAGCAGGATGCAAATTGACAGGCACATGGTGTGGCTTTCAAGAGTTCTGCTTCTGCTCTCATTAGGAAGATGAAAGTGACACCATACAAGGGCTGGAAATTAGCAGTGGCCTCCCAGTCACCACAGCGACTATCTGGCCATTTAAAAATGATTATATTGCATTGCTTGTGAGGCCAGAAGTAAATACAGATGAGACTCTGGCACCTGCTGAGAGCAGACAGATTACAGCAAGCTTCTCCTAAGCCATTAGGGGAAGCTTGCTTTTTCACTTCATTAGTGGATGGTGCTATAGGCTTGTTTATAATGCAGCCCTTACGGACTGCAGTGAAAGCTGAGAGCCAGTCTGACTGAGGTGGCTGGGAGTGGTGATCCTCTGCATGTGCTCCTGTTTTGTGCTGAATGGGGAGTGTGCTTGGGAGATGGAACTGAGGACAGGGGAATGAGGAGAGCCCAGTTTATTCTACAGATAGCAGCTGAGAGATTCTGCCAGCTCAGTCGTTAAGGGGTGTCACTGCATGTTTAATGACTTGTTCTGCTGTTAGAAATTGCCATTGCAGCTGAGGGAAAATTCTCTTAGAATAGAAAAAAATCTTCATTTGGAAAATATCTAATTGTGTTCACTCCCTAATTAGGGTTCAGAGACATCCTTTTGAAAGAATAGCAACTCCTTTCCAAGTGTACAGCTGGACAGCTCCACAAGCAGAACATGCCATGGACTGCGTCCGAGCAGAAGATGCATACACTTCTAGGCTGGGCTATGAAGAGCACATACCTGGACAGGTATCAGTCTAGCTCTCTCTGAGAACCCTAGCAATAGTCCTGCTGCTCACTGCACTGGGAACCAGTTAACTTTTACCAGCAAGTAGACCTTTGGTATTTTGAAAGGGTTTTGTACATCAAGGAAAACTTGCACGAGTCTTTGTTCTCAACAGTATCTTCAATGATGGGGGCTGAGCTGCTGAGGCTGCAACTTCCCTGAGTATGTGGGAGTTTCAGCAACTTCTTAAGTACTTATAAATCCTGTGTCCCTACTCTGATTGGCACTACTGCTCCTTGCGAGCACTAGACTGTTCCTCTGTTCTGGTCAAGCCTGGAAAAGCTCTCATATCTCTCGGCAAACTTTTCTAAGGGTGTCAGTTGCAGCCTCATAGCATAAAATGTGCCAGGATGTGCATTGTGCTGGACTGTCATGGCTGCATGTAGGCAGTGTCTGTGGGGTGACCGTGTTGCAGTGTGCTGGCTAGCCAGGTCTGCACTGGGTTATTCTGGTGTTAGCAATCTGGCATTTCATATAAACTATGTTGAGTAACGTGGACTAACAGGATCTATCCCATGTGGATGTGGAATGAGATCAACTCATGAGGAGTGATCCTGATGCTAATTCTTTTCCTCTGAACATCATGGCAGCCTGAGTTCTTTCCTTCTCCTTTCCCTTGTAAATGAGAAATGTTGGCTTGCCAGCACCCACCTACAGCACATATTGCTTCCCACAAGGCTTTCACTCTTTCAGACCAGAGACTGGAATGAAGAGCTGCAGACCACGCGAGAGCTGCCACGCAAGAACCTGCCTGAGAGGCTGCTGAGAGAACGAGCCATTTTCAAGGTAACTTTGGGATCTGCAGGCAACTTCCATTACACAGCCCCTTCGCTGCTGCCCATGTCACACGTAGACATTTCATCTGGGCTGCCCTTTAGAAACTGCAAGATGGGAGTCCCTGTTTGTGAGCTAAGGGGTCTTGTTCTCTCTCACATATCATATAATCATATAATCATCTATGTTGGAAAAGGCCTTCAAGAACATCACATCCAGCCATCAATCTCAGTTACCAAATCCCATCACTAAACCATGTCCTTTAGTGCCATGTCCACATATCTCTTGAGTACCTCTAGCGATGGGGACTCCACCCTAATCGCGACCTCCTTGGGCAATCTGTTCCAGTGCTTGACCAATATCTGCCTTCTGCTCCCAGCTTTGCAGGGAAGAATTGTAGTCCTTGACCCTGTATCTCCCAGCTGACCATGAGATGGTCTCCTCTTAATCCTCTGCTGTTGTGTTTGATCCAGTCCTCCTTCAAGTGGGTAGGAGGAGCAGGAGCAGGGGTAGGGGTGGACATGATTAAAACTAAACCCTCCTCCGCAGAGAGCTCATGAGACTGAGCCGTGGTGATCCCTAGTGCTCTGGCTCCTGGAGCTTGTATCCAAGCCACTGGCCAGGCTCACAAGAGCAAAAGTCAGCTGACCTGCCTGCCTGCTGGAGGGCCATGAGGAGGTGAGGAGCAAAGGAGAAATTTGCAGAGAGCTTTGAGAGTGAGGTGTGGGGAGGATGTTATCCATTTCTTACCTGACTTTCTTTCTGGCGGCCTCCAGGTTCACAGTGACTTCACTGCAGCAGCAACAAGAGGTGCCATGGCTGTCATTGATGGCAATGTCATGGCCATCAACCCCAGTGAAGAGACCAAGATGCAGATGTTCATCTGGAACAATATATTCTTCAGTCTGGGCTTCGACGTCCGTGACCACTACAAGGACTTTGGTGGGGATGTTGCTGCTTATGTAGCACCTACCAATGATCTCAATGGTGTGCGGACCTATAATGCTGTGGATGTAGAAGGGCTGTACACTCTGGGGACTGTAGTGGTGGATTACAGAGGTTACAGAGTGACAGCTCAGTCTATTATTCCTGGGATCTTGGAAAGGGAACAGGAACAGAGTGTCATCTATGGGTCAATAGACTTTGGCAAGACAGTTGTCTCACATTCTAAGTACCTGGAGCTGCTAGAGAAGACCAGCAGACCGCTTAAGATCCAGAAGCACAAAGTCCTGAATGACAAGAATGAGGAGGTGGAGCTGTGCTCCTCAGTGGAGTGCAAAGGCATTATTGGAAACGATGGGCGTCACTACATTCTGGACCTGCTCCGCACTTTCCCTCCAGATCTAAACTTCCTACCTGTTGAAGGGGAGGAAATGCCAGAGGAGTGTAAGAAAATGGGGTTCCCTAAGCAACACAGACACAAGCTTTGCTGTCTCCGGCAAGAGCTTGTTGATGCCTTTGTAGAGCACAGGTGAGCTGAGCTTCCCACGTCTTCTGCTTGCAACTGGTAATGGTCAAAGTCAGAGCTCCTGGGAGCAGGCAGCTGATTGCCCCAGCTGAGAGCCCTGCAGGTGCAATTACAGAGGCTTACCTAGTGAGAGATGGAACAGTAGAGATTCTGACAGGGCTGTAGGGAACTGGGGAAGAAGTGGTTTGCTCTTTAGTATCCAGATCTGTTTTGATGTTTCATGTCCTTTCTCTGCAGATGCTCTGGTCACCTGATATCTAGGGAATGGAAAGGATTTATGCTTAGTTTTTTAGGCTCTCCAGACATCTCAAACGCTACTTTTTTTACTAATGGCTGAAAAAAATGACCTGTGGGAACTGCTGTAGGGAGTTCTGTGGTGGAGTGTGTTGGTGTTGGGCTCATACAATGCAGGAGAGGGACTGGGAGCTCTGGGAGCAGGCAGTTACGTGGTGCAGCTGCATGGGGTAATGCTCCTGCTTCCCATGTCGGGGGCTGCAGGGTGCTCTGCTACCACAGACAGTCAGAGTCTGTGCTCCACTTGCCAGGAAGGTGAGCCCTCAGCTGCTGCCAGGGGAGCTCTGCCAGCTGAGCAACCAGTTCTGCAGTCAGCACCCTGCCCCATCCTGCCCTGTGCCCACAGGCACCTTCACTTCTGCCTGGGAGAGGTTCCAGACCAGCAGCCTGCAGGACCTGGCTGGAGGCTGCCACTGCATGGCTTGCAAAGCTCCCTGTGCTCAGGTTTCATAGTAAAATTGCTGCTGGATTTTGTTTGTCAGTTCTGTGGATTTGGCAGTAAGAGTCTTCCTGAGCTGTTTGCTTGTGTTGCGTGTGGAAAGCTACTTGTAACTACTGCAAGGAGATGAGTTTTCCATCATGATATGTAATGAAAACCCACTTCTTTGTCTCTTCTGACATGCTAATGGAAGATATTAGAATAATGTGCACTCTCTAATTTCAGAAAGTTCACTGATAGAGGGTCAGTTTTGCCTTTGCAGAGGGAAACTGGGTGATCTGTTACCCCAGCTCTGAGCTTTTCCCCTCATAGCAGAATGGTGATCCTCTTAGATTCTCCTGCTGTACTGAATTCCTCTCTTACTTCGCTGTAGGTATCTCTTATTCATGAAGCTGGCTGCATTGCAGCTGATGCAACAGAAAGCCAACAAACAGGAGAGCTCAGCTGCACTGGAAAATGGCACCTCTCCGGAGAATGGTACAGCAGAAAGCGAGAAGTCTGAGTCAGATGATGGTAAAACAGATGACAACGTGACTGGACTTGATCAGGTTAAAGAGCTGGCTGAGACCATTGCATCTGATGATGGAACAGGTATTTAATCCTCTGCATCAGAAGCAGCCCAGGCCTGCTGCCCTGCTGGTGGCTGTGCCTCTGATGGGAGCTATGCCAAACCAGAGGCACTTAGGGTGATCATTTGTTGTTAAACAGGACAAGTACTGGCTTCTGCTATTGATAATGTTTTAGCTCTTTGCATAGAGCCATTCACACACCAGTTCATCAATCACCCTGACTGCCTGGGGGTAGGTTGTTAGTGTCTCTGAAGCACGAGCCTACCAGCTCTGATGCAGGAATGAGAGCCTCACCAGCAAGCTGCTCTGCAGAGCCAGCAGCCAGGGCTGGGAAGCGTGCAGTGCTCAAACACCTTCAGAAATCCCAAAGTATCTGATTTTGCATTTTTGCAGCTATTCTCCCTTCCTTATATCTTACAATTGATTGCATTTATAATGGATTTCTGCAAAATGTGCCATCATTATTGCTTTTAATAACAAAACTTTTCTCTTTAATAGCCAGGTTGTCCTTTTCTGAAATCCACATTCATTTGTTCCCTTTTTCTTCCTTCTCCAGTCGATCCCAAAAGCAGAGAAGTGATTCGAAATGCTTGCAAGGCTGTGGGCTCCATTAGTGACACATCATTTGACATTCGGTTTAACCCAGATATTTTCTCACCAGGTATGTGCATAAAGAGCTCGTGCCGGTCCGTTTTCAGAGGATTGCTGTATGCAGCCAGCTACAGACAAAATTATGTTCCAAAGCCTTAACTGATACCACTGGCTTTTGGTGCAGAGTTCCCCGTGCAGCTCAAAGACACAGAAAAGAGAGAGCTAAAATCGCAGTGCTCAAACTACCAAATGCAGGCAGTGAGCTGTCTCCCACTGCTGCACTCGGGGAGGTTTTGAGAGTGCTGCCAAAAATCTTGAGACTCTCCAGCACCCCAGCTGCTGGACCACGTGAAAAGAGGTGGATGTGGGGGGGGACAGGTTACATTTGATCCTATTTTTTTTGTTCACACACAAAAAAAACCCACACAGTTGTAGTGGAATGAATGATGTTGGATCGTCAGCGAAGGGCAGGGTTTATTTTAGTAACACTGCGGTCAGTAGGTCATGGTGCCCTTTCAAATACATGCACTGATCACAGGCATCCGATGTAGCTTTTAGTGTCTGGAATCAACACACTTTATTTGGAAATTCAGTAAGGCTTCCGAAATGTTAAGTGGGGCAAATGCAGAGGCTGTGTGTGTGCAGATTGCAGGGGAATGGCCACATAGTTGAGTTTAGTTTGGAATAAATGTGTCAGAAGGAGCACATGTTTTGGAGTCTGGTGAAAACTAGTGCTTTGGCACTGACTTTTCAGCTTGAACTTAACTTTGTTTTAATTTTCATGTGCCAAAGCAAAGGCTCTGAGCTTCCAGCACTTGAAGTGTTTGTTGGCCCAACTGCTGTACGTGGTGCTCCAGCCTAGCCTGGACTCTTTTGCGCTGGCAGTGTGCTCAGCACTCGCTAATAGGTAGGATGAGATTTGAGCCATCAGAAGTTATGTTAAAAGGGAATGAGTGGGCACGGACAGCGCAACCAGTATCTGAGAGAAGGAGGTAATACTCTTCCCATCAAAATGTTGCAGATTAGATAAGCTTTGAAGAAGCATTTGTAATTTAAGGGAGGCAGATCCACTTCAGCTTTTTACCTGCTGTTACCACACGTTCTCTGTACATGAGTTAGTTTTCCTTTTAAGTTCATGTTTGATGTTTTCCTCTTGCCCTGATAGGTGTTCGTTTTCCCGAGTCTAGCAAAGAGGAGGTGCAGGATCAGAAGCAGTTACTGAAGGATGCTGCTGCATTCTTGCTCTCGTGCCAGATCCCAGGTTTGGTAAGCAGCTAAGGGCCAGCAGTATTCTCTTGGAAGCTTACTTTTAGCTTGGCCACCCTGAGCAAGCACTGCAATAATGGTATGCTGACTTCACCTCCCAGGCAGATGCTGTGCTCTGCTGCTGGTAGCCAAGTTCTTGCACCAGGGGTGCATTGTGGTAAACAGTGCCAGCATCTCTGGTGCAAGCACAAGAGGAGTTTTCCATTTCCTGTCTTACAGAACAGTTTTCCCACTCACTCCAACAAAGAATTTTTGGCACTAGCCATCAACATTATTGCTGAGAATTGGAGACAGTAAGGACCACAGAAGTAATCCTCCCTAGTCCTGGGCATCACACACTGCTTTTGTGTTATCTGACCTTGATTGTGACTCGGTGGCTAATAACTTGGAGTGCACTGGGAAGTTGTTCTTGCTCATATCTAAAAACTCCTTCTGCAGGTCTTAGGCATTTTGGGTGCCTACCCATGTGCCTGGCCTGATAAGAAATACCAGCTGTTCTCTCTAAAGTGACTGCGGTGTTGCAGCTGTCATTGTAACTGGGAAGCTGGGACTGCTGATCTCCACTCTGAGAGGTCTTGGGGCTGTTGGTTTTTCATTACTGGAAAACTTCTTTTGAACTGTACCTCCTTATAAATTCCCTGGTTCCTTAGTCAGCATAAGCTTTTAAGGCTAGCTATTCAGTCTGAAAATAAAAAAAGAGGGGAAGTGAATCAGAAAAGGACATGATGGTGACTGCTGTTTTGCAAGGGTTGTGATACACTAGTATGCAGTGTGACATGCTGCACAGGCACTGTCCTCTCTGCTCTGTGTGTTGGAATGTAACTGTGTTACTCTGTGATGCAGATTAATGACTCTTTATCAGCACTGCAACACATCTTGAAATGCAAGTGCCATTTCCCATTATCAGCAAAGTGCCTTACAGTCAGCGATTAAAAACATTTCCAGTGAAAAGACCAATGAAGCTGTACACAAACAGCAGTTCTCCCATGGGCTGAAAGCTGTCCCTGCCCTGTCCTGTACCTGTGCAGGGGAACCCCGGGCTGTGGCCTTCATGTCTGTCCTTCATAACCAACATTTGCATGTACCCTGCAGGTCAAGGACTGCCTGGATCACACGGTGCTCCCCATGGATGGGGCTACCTTAGCAGAAGCCATGCACCAGAGGGGCATCAACATGCGATATCTAGGCAAAGTGATCCACTTCATCACCAAGACCCCCGGCCATGCTCAGCTGGATCACATCTTTGTAAGCATTAGCCTTAACTTCAGACTGTCAGCTCCAGCTGCCTCTGGCCTAACATGTCCTGTACAGATTGCAGCTTGGCTAATTGGTTTCTCTGTGAAAACAAACCAGCTTCAAAAATAGAGAAGGAAGGAGAAGGACCTGTAGGTGTTTGATGGGGGAGTTATACTCCCATTTCCTTAATGGCTCTCGCTGTGTTAGGCTGTTTGAGTATCCTTTAGGATAGAAAAGTTGTTGAAGGATTCCCTGGTGTAATAGCAGGCAGCACGCAGCTGGATTTTAAGCTGTTCATTTTTAAGCCTCTAATACCTGGCAAGGCTTTGGGTCTGACTGGAAGGTGGTGTTGTGAGCACGGCTGCGTGGGGCTGCAGGGTGAGCTCTGCGGTACTGGGGGGCTGGTGGTGATCTGGGGGGGCCTTTCCCCATCCCCAGGAGTGTTGTCAAATGCCAAATAGTTCTGTGCTGTAGGGTAAGGGCAGAATTAGGTGCCTTCTGTGCATCTTGATAAAAGCCCACTTCAAAAGGAAAGTGTGTTTTTCATTGTTGTTATTGACTGACTCTTAGTCTTCGCTTTTTATTCCTCGGGGTAGAAAATTGGCATCAGTGAACTGATCACTCGATCAGCGAAACACATCTTCAAGACGTACCTCCAGGTATGACCTGCAGCCTAACCTCTCGCCTCGTGTGTCCTCTCTAATGATTTTTTTTTTGCAAATAGAGCGCTGTTTAGTTTCCTCTCTCATTAGAGTGTTCGTGGGTGTTGCCTAGCAACAGGGCTACAGTCTCATTAGAGCTAAAATAGGTGTAGGCCTGTGTGCAAGGGAAAACAAGTCCCCACTTGAAGATTGGTTTTCCCAGAGAAGAAATGTTCATGCTTCTCTTTCCCCGATCCTCATTCCTTACGCTGAAGGCTTTTACAAATCACAGCTGGTTTTCCTTGTAATGCCTTTTCTTTTGTTGCTTTTACCCTCATAAGGAGCTTTTCTGAATTGAATGAGCACTGATGAGCATCCTGTACATATGTAGCATGGCAGTGCACCTGGTTTTATTCCAATGTCAGATCTGCTTTACAGTCTCTAGTTTCTGTGTCCCAAGTGGCAACCCAAAGTAGGACTGTATATTTGCATGTGTGTTGTACCTTTATTTATTATCTACGTAATTCTGTCTGTGCTAGTTGCAAATATTTGCCTCTTCCTTTCTTCTCTCCTTCACTTGGGAGATATTCCTATTTCTAGGAGGATTGGGTTTGTGCAAGTGTTGGATCAGAGTAATGCTGTGTGATGGCAGATGTGTTCCACAACTGACTTCTGTGTCTCACTGTAGGGTGTGGAGCTGTCGGGTTTATCAGCAGCCATCAGCCACTTCCTCAATTGCTTTCTAAGCTCCTTTCCAAACCCCATTGCCCATCTTCCAGCTGATGAGCTGGTCTCCAAGAAAAAAAATAAGAAAAGGAAAAACAGGAATCTTGGAAATGCTGATAACACAGCTTGGGCCAGCATGACCCCTCAGGAGCTGTGGAAGAATATTTGTTCAGAAGCAAAGAGCTACTTTGATTTTAGTCTTGAATGGTAAGCAAATAAAATTACCCTTACTTGTGCCTGAACTCTTACAAATGTCTGTAGCTCTTATTGTTACCTAATATGACCTTCCTTTTTTGATTTCTGTTTGCATGAAAGTTTGTATTCTTGAGGAAATCTTGTGGGCATATAATGGAAAGAAATCAGGCAAGGAGCAGCAGAGGGAAGTAGCTGCAATCTGCACTGAGATGAAGCCTGTGAGGCAAAGGGAAGAAGGGGAAAGCTCTCCCTAGTGCTGTGGACATGAGCAGAGTGTGAAGAGTGTAGGCAAAAAACACTTGCCAATAAGAAAGATGATTTAGGCTGAAGGCAGCTGTTCCTAAAACATCTGAAACAGGGATGGCCAGGGATGGTGCTGGAACATGCAGACATTGAATGTTGAACTGAAAGTGGGAGCAAACAGGGCCCAAGAGAAATGATGATGAGCTGCTGAAGCCAGTGATCGCTCCTTCCATGTCAGGGACAGCTTACTGCGTGCCAGGAGCTGAAGGTACTCAAACTTATTCAGACCCTACAGGGAGATGTGAAGAGCATACCGAATTTCAGTACTGCTGTGCAGCTCTGTAAGCACCATTAGCACCCAAGGTATTGCTGCTGGTTTCTGTCTTAGCTGAGAGGGAGCCATGCATGGTACACTGCAGAGTAGGGATGTTCCTGAGCAGAAACTTCTCTGGGAGCTCAAGCCTTTGTGTGCTTTTTGCAGTGAGAATGCTGACCAAGCAGCCGAAATGTATAACCTACAGAAAATCACCCTTCTTCGTGAAATCTCCCTCAAAACTGGAGTCCAAGTAAGATCAATATCTTCCCTCCTCCCATCATCTTCGGTACGGAGAAGCGTGCAGTGCAAACTGCTTGGCAGGGTTAGCCTTGCAGGCACACAGTGCAGGCCCTGAGAGGTCTTTGAGGCATTAATCCTGGAATACAGGGTCTAATCCCATGAGAAGATCTTTAAAATCCAGTTCCTTTTAGGGTTAATTGATCGTGCATCTCCTGCCCAGTCTGAATTCCTGTCACTTGCTCTGACATCTAGTGCCAGCACAGCTGTGCCTTTGCATGCAGAGCTCCCAGCACATGCTTGTGGTGGGGCACACCTTCATGGGACCCTTCAAAATGCTGTCTCCAAGTAGTGATACATGAGCAGTTAGCTGTGACTATGATTCCATGTGCAGAATTCCAGGCTCCTTTTTCTCTCTCTCCTTGCCAAGCACCTCTGAAAGTGGTGGCCATGACCTCCTGTCTTTTTTTTGGTTCCTCTAGATACTGCTGAAGGAGTACAACTTTGACAACAGGCACAAGCCCACCTTCACCGAGGAAGACATTCTCAACATCTTCCCTGTAGTGAAGCATGTAAACCCTAAAGCCTCAGATGCTTTCCACTTCTTCCAGAGCGGGCAAGCAAAGGTTCAGCAAGGTACAGTTCCAGCATGCCTCTGCCTCTTGAGGCTGCTGCTGATGGAAGGGAGAGCAGGGTGTGTGTGACATGGCACATCCTCCACCTGCCTTCTGGTAGTTGAGGATCGTGGTCTCTTAGGAGTTGCGATCTCGGAGGCCACCTGAAGCACACATCTGCCATGGAGTCACCAGCCGTGAGCAAGGAAGGATGCAGGACAGTTTTAGTTTTAGTCCTTGCTTAGGGCAGTGACCTAAAGCTGCACATCCCACCACTGTTTCTGCCAGTTCATGTAGATCTTGCTTCACGTGCATCACTTCTCCCATTCTACTAAAGGTTATTTAATATGGGAACATACATGAATATATATATATTTTTTCAGGTTTCTTGAAGGAGGGCTGTGAGCTCATCAATGAAGCCTTAAACTTGTTCAACAATGTGTATGGTGCTATGCATGTAGAAATCTGTGCCTGCCTGAGGCTGCTAGCTCGTCTCAATTATATTATGGGAGATTATTCAGAGGTAAGCAGAGGGCTCAGGCAGGGCCCATTTGTCCTCTTACTTGTGTCTTGTGCTTACTTGCTCAAGTGCACAACATCTGTGTGACTTGCTCTGGGCCTTCTGTTCTGTTTAGGCCTTAAGTAATCAGCAGAAAGCGGTGCTAATGAGTGAGAGGGTCCTGGGTATCGAACATCCCAACACCATTCAAGAATATGTAAGTATAGGGTATGGGGAGAGAAGCAGCACACCATGTGTGCACCTGGAGTCTGAGAGCCTTAATTCACACCTGAATCTGGAGAACAGTTGCAGTTCTCCTCCCAGAATCCTCCATTTTCATCACAAGCTTCATGCTTACGATTTTGTAAGCTCCATATGAAAGTGTTTGCATTATAAGCGTTGCACATGGTCAGTATTTGTCCCCACTGAGACTTTAGGGGTTTTGTCTGCTGAGCATTTACATACATTCATTAATTCTTCTGGCTTTTACCTTGGGCTTGTGCCAAAACAAGAAATTCAAGAGCCTTCCCAAAGAGCACAATCACAGCATCTTATAAATATACGTCAATTTTGAAATACATCTTGAGGTTCATAAGAGATATTGAAGTGAAACACTTCAACTGGCAATTTCTTCCTCTGTGCTGTATTTTATGTGGGTACTGCAGTGGTGTGACCAGCTGGGGAAAGGAGCAGAAAGGAGAGATCACTTTGATTTACAGAGTGTTAAAACATGAATGCTGGATTTTGTCTTCTATTATAGATGCACCTTGCTTTGTACTGCTTTGCAAACAGCCAACTCTCTACAGCATTAAACTTATTGTACCGTGCACGCTACCTCATGCTATTGGTATTTGGGGAGGATCACCCAGAAATGGCACTCTTGGATGTAAGTAATCAATATCTTTGAGAATCTAATCTCTAAGACTTCTTGGACTTAAAACCATGCATACTGCTGGCTGTTTAAACTGTGTGTTGAGACGTTGCTTTTTTTTTTTTTTTTTTTTACCATTATAAAACTACCCATTAGTTACTACCCATTAGTACCATTAGAGGAAGGGGAAAGAAGTATGATTGTTTGGCTTGGGAAGGTAAAATGGAGAGGGTTCATGGAATCAGAGTGGTTGAGGTTTGAAGGGGCCTCTGGGGTCCGTCTGGTCTAACCTCTCCCTGCTCAGGCAGGTTGCCCAGGACTGTGTCCAGGCAGCTTTTGAATGGTCTAAGAAAGGAGATTCTTTATTTTCCTTCTGTCTGGCTTGTTTGGGCTGAGCTCCCAAGGAAGAAAATGTCGTATGTTATGTGCTAGAGCAAGATCCACTGAGGACTTCTGGCCATAAGAGCCTTTTCAAGCAGCTAAGCACCTGGATGGGAACTGGGAAGCAGTAAATGTGTACTTGGAATTGATGTTTCTGAATGCCTATTTGACTACCTCTGTGGTGGATCTGTGCAGAACAACATCGGCTTGGTGCTCCACGGCGTTATGGAGTACGACCTGTCCCTCCGCTTCCTGGAGAACGCACTGGCCATCAGCTCCAAGTATCACGGCTCCAAGTCTTTGAAAGTTGCACTCAGGTGAGGCAGGGTGGAGCGCTGGGCTGAGTCCCCATCCTGTGAGTGAGTGCTCAGTGTACATTGGGTGGGAGTGCTCTGACCTGTGTCCAGCTGTGTGCTCTTAAACCAGAGGCTCTTTCTAGTGCCAGCTGCCAGCCCCACTGGGAGCGCGGGGCTGCCTGCAGTCGTGGCCGTGCTGCAGCATCCAGGTCGGTCTGGAACAGAGATCCCTTGTTCTTAAGATTAATTGGGGGATCTGCTTAATGATTCAAAAATATGTCAGGATGAGCCTGACCCTCCCAGATTCTCAAGCATGTGGCAAGGGAGTGTTGGAGAGCAGTGTTCATGTAATTATACTGGGAGACGAGCATGATATATAAACACTTGTATGTAATTGCTTTGGCCCTCGGGGAGCTACCTTTGAGGAAACATAATTTGCTTCTGTCCTTCACTATTAAAACCTTTTATTTCACTAAAACACTGAGCAGCTTTCTGTTTCCAAGGCAGTGCTGTATGCTCTGTCCTTGAATACAGACCTGGCTCACAAACAACCAAATAGTGGTCCATTCCTCATTACTACTAACACCTTGCATCCCATCTGTTCTTCATCAGAGTGAAAATAAATCTTATTAAGTGCCCGCAAGAGTCTGATTTATTTTCTAGCAGTTGATGGATGTGTATTCTGCAGAAATAATCCTTCCTTCTCTCAGTAGCACTGGGATGCTCGTTGAGACCCTTCATTTCCCAGGGAGTATCACTGCCAAAAATAGAAGTCTTTTTTCTTCCATAAACATTAAGGAAGCAAAGTTCAAGCCAAGTTAACCCTCCCAGCTGGAAAACAAAAACTTGGATCCCAGCTTTGCCACTGTTTGCTGGTTGTTTCTGTGCTGGAAAACTTTGTTTTTTGGTTTGACTGACCGAGTTATTCACACATCTGCTTTCAAGAAACAAAAGGGTCTTTTTTTAGAGGAGAAAAGCTTATAACTGCCTCTTCTTTTTCCACTTAACAAGTCTGGGCCAACACATCCTTGCCTATGTACAGTGCACCACTGTGACCTTCAGCTTTCCTGGTTGCAGCAGGAAAAAATCCCAAGCTCAGTCTCTTCTTTGTCAGGTTCCTCCTCAGCATTTCAGCAATCCAACCTACATCAGTGCAGTATGTTAATCTGCAGCTGGGTGGGGAGAAGTAAACACACCAGGGTGCTATATGTAGTCCTGTATTTGCCACCTTTGACACTGCTGTTAAGACTTGTAGCCTAACCTTTGTGTTGCTGGTTGTGCTCTGCGTAGCACAGAAATGCTGCTTCATCATTGAGATACCTTTAAACCTTTTTCTTTCCCTCAGCCACCACTTGGTAGCTCGAGTGTATGAGAGCAAAGCAGAATTCCGGTCAGCACTGCAGCATGAGAAGGAAGGCTACACCATCTACAAAAACCAGGTGAGGAGCCTGCGTGCTGCTCGTGTGGTGTTTTCCTGCTAGAAGCAAGGACTGACTGCGAACCAACGCCACAACCTGAACTCAGGGAGGCCTTTCTCATGAACAGCTCTGGCGGGTGCCAAGGAGCCTTCTTTTGAAGGATGGGGCAGAATTGCTGTCCTGTGCAATAGCTTGCTGGTGGTGATGCTGAAAGTCTATGATCCGACTGCTGCAAGTTTGTTCTTGCTGTACCCGTCGTTGGACAGAACTTCTGGTAGTGGCTGAGCCCCGTGTTCTGGCAGGGTATGGCAAGAGATGGCTGATTCTTCCCACTGTGCATCAGCTGTCTTTTAATGCCAGCCCCAAACTAGTTTGGTCGTTGAGCTGTTCTGTGGGCAGTTGCCTCTCCTGCTTGGAGCCTTCGCTGATGCACAGTGAAACTTCTGCATCAGCCTGGGTCTGTCTGAACACGTCTGCAGCTGCACGCTGTGATTCAGTGCTGGTGCTGAAAGCACAGCCTGGTGGAGGGGATGCCTCTCGCCCTGCAGACATGCTTCTACTTGATGGAAAGGTGTAATTTTGACAACAAGGTTCCTACACAAATGATTTTTAGTTTTGTTTTTAAATGGGTGTAGTTCTGATAGCTTTCTGTAGGGATGCTGAGCTGGCAAAGATAGGAGGAGTGCATCCTAGTTTGAGTCCTGTTCTGATTTGTAATGCAATCTTTTTTCTTTTTTTTTTCTTTTTCCGATTAGCTTGGAGAACACCATGAAAAGACCAAAGAGAGCTCTGAGTACTTGAAATACCTGACTCAGCAAGCTGTTGCTCTTCAACGCACAATGAATGAGATCTACAAGAACGGCTCCAACGCTAACATCATGCCACTCAAGGTAACCTCATGTGAGAGCAATTGAGAACACTTGCTGTGGAGGCATATTGGTATTCTGCTGTTACTGAAGGACATGTGAGCATAAGAATGCAGACTTCTGCCTGTGCAGAGCAGGAACAGCTGTGCCAGTTCAGACACTTAGAGTAGGAGGTCCCTGCAAAGGCAGAGGGTCAGACACAATGAAGTGCTGTCAGGACTAAGTATTTGCTTACTCTGTTTCTGTGTACAGCTCTTCTGAGCTCAGGCAAATGAGCAAAGCTGACTGCTTTGCAAGGGGCACCCAGGGGAATCCGACAGCCCACACTGGGCGCTGTAGCGTGGGAGCCTGGAGCACCTACACCCAAAAGTGCCACTGCTCTGACTCACAGGCTGCAGGCAGGTTGCTCAATTAAAAAATACTTCGGTTTCCTCATCCTATTTGAGGGAAGAAAAGAAAAAGGCTGACGTCTTTCCCCAGGTGCATTGTTCTCCTTCTAAGGACATTGTGGTGAGGGGAGGCTGGGCAGCAGAGCAGAGCCAGGGGGGCTGCCTTGCCTTGCCTTGACTTCCACGCATCAGGAACTGACAGCCCTTATCTGCACGTGCACCTGGCAGGTCCCACCAGCTTGTGTGGTGTCTCCTAGGGGAGCTGCAGTGACTTTTGGGGCGAGTGCTCTCCCTGCTGTGCTGTACACGAGTGGCTGCTGGAGCACTGCAGGGCTGAGAGTGTGGCTTCCTGCTGCAGAGTGACTCCCAGTAGAAAGGCAAAGCAGGATGATTCCCTGTGGAGGTGGTTGGGTTTTCTTCTCACTATGTGGAACAGGGTGGATAAGTGAGGAGTTCATGGCAGAATGATTTGAGCTTAAGTACCTTGAATTGGGTAAATGGTCATGTCTAAGAGACGGTATTTGGATGGGCAGCTCAAACCCTTTAAACAGGAATGGATGCCTTGTTATGATGCTTGGAGGGAGGGAAAAAGCAGGAAAGTGGAGTTGTTTGATTTCACAGTTGATGCAGAACGACAGCCCGTGAAGTAGCGGTGCTACTGAGAGACAGTCTATCCTAGAAATTCATTTCTACCCTCATCAGAGTATTTAACTGCAGCTTTGTCCCACGGCTGTTTGTGGTTGTGCACATAGGCACAGGTGCTCTGTAACCACAAAGTGCTGCACAGACTTTTGTCCCAAAACCACGGTAAGGGAATTATTCTTTGCCTGGAGCAAGGATAATGTATGTGCAGAGAGACATGAGAGGCACTGTTATGAAACCAATGTATCTGAGACTGTCCTTGTGATGGACTGACCGCCCGCACTGTGAGCTTGTTCCTCTGTTCGTGTGCGAGTAAATAAATCCCTAATGCTACTTGCTGTAACGGAGCAAGGAGCTCTAAATTTGTAGAAGTTGTTACCCTAAGTGCTAGAAATCTATAATTGCCTCTTTTTAACTTGGGGCTGTGAAGAGGTACAAAAATAAGTGCTGTGCCACTTCACAACTATGAGGCTGCCATGTGAGTTGTCTGTACGTACTGCCTCTTCTAGAGGGGGAAGGAAGGTTGTTGCTTGGTCAAGATATGCTCAGGAGCTCTGTGTTGTTCTGTCTGAATTTTGACTTTTAACCTTTTTTTTCTATCTCATGCTGTAGTTCACAGCTCCCAGTATGACCAGTGTCCTGGAGCAGCTCAACATTATTAATGGAATTCTCTTCATTCCGCTAAGGTAGAGTGCCCTAACTCACAGCTTTCCCAATCAGGCGTTCTTTGTGTGCAGTCTTTGTTCCTGAGACACTATAAACCCAGTGCTTCCCTTGAGAGTCATTCTGACCCAAGATGTAGTTTCCAGAGGTTAGGTACCTCTTGCTTCAAGGTGATGTGGTCCCCTGAAGTTATCTGCTATCATCAAACCTAAAATCCAGACCTGCTCCATGCATCTTAAGGAAATTGGGCAGAGAACTGATGTGCCCATCAGTGGCCAAGACCATGGTGTGCAGCTCTGCCCGTGGGTTGCTCACAGAGCTGGTAGTGCCCATTGGAGCTGTTCTCAGCCTGTCTCCCTGGCAGTGAAAGGGTTCTTCTGTTCAGCTCCATTTGAAGAGCAGGGGAGGTCTCTGCCCATAAATGAAATGAGCAGCACTGCCATCTGTAGCAAACAGCAGTGGCTGCCTTTGCCCCTGTGTTTCACTCCATTCCTGAAGCTGGTCTAACGTTAGTTACCGTTCCTGGTTTTCCCACTCAGCCAAAAAGACTTGGAGAACCTTAAAGCAGAGGTGCAGAGACGCCAGCAGCTCCAAGAAAGCATAAAAAGTGGTGAACAGCTGGAACCAGAGGACAGAGCCGGGGAGGATAAAGAAGCTGAGCCAAGCATGCCTTCTGCTGCCATCCCCTTAACACAGAGCCCTGCTTAATGTGTACCTCGCTTAAAAAAGTTAAACCACCCTTTTCTGAATCTGAACCAGGGTCTTGGACTCCCCTGGAGCAGCTCCTCTTTTTTTTTTTTTTTTTTTTTTTTGACAATGTTATTGCACTGGTACAATTAATACACAATGCAAAGAACTAATCTGAGAAATGTAATCTGTCTGACCGAGCTTGTATCTGCCACGTGAAGGGGGCAGGGGGCCAGGATGCAGCAGCATACAAAAGACCCATCTTTGGTGAGCACAGCCAGAGGCTGTTGTGCCTGTGTGTGTGTACGTGTGTGTGTGCACATGTCATCAGTTATTTCTACTCTGTACATATGAATTCCAAATGAACTGTCTTGAGGTATATAACATTTCTCAGGTCATTTTTATGTTGACTAAGGACACAGCTTTGCTAAAAACCAGTACAAAAAAGCCCCTAACCACTGCTCAGCATTCTTGTAAAATGTGGATTCCAAGCCAAGAGATTCATTTCTCCCCAGTCCATGTCCCAATTTGTGCTAAGGAAAATGAAGCAGCCATATTTGTATTGTTGAGATGACTGAAGCCTGTAATGTGAGTAAGTGGGGAATGTACAGCATTTTCTACATCAGGATATATAGCTATTGGATTCCTTTTAACCATTTTTTCTACTTTTGGTTGGCAGTTTGGCAGGTCAGGGTTTTTTTTTTTTTTGTAACATTCATGTTCTAATTGTCAAGAGACAGAGATAAGTATATATATAAATATATATAAATATATATATGATACTCACAGTTCCACCTCTGCTCTGCTTGCAGCTGAGTAACAGGATACTGTACCCAAAGAGTGAGGGCTTGGTCTTGATGTTTAAAGCGCACAAACTTCCATTCCAGTGGAAACCCGAGTGCCTGGGAGAGACTGGTAATGGCAGCGTCTGAGGTCTGAGTGAGGAGCTAACAGTGGCCCTATTAACAGAGGGGAGAAGAGGGGAGAAGTCAGCAATGGGCACTTGATCTTATCTGAAGTAACCGTAACTCAGAGCTCAGCGCTGTTAACCCCGCTGCCAAATGTATCTGAATTGGCATCGCAGGTGTCACAGCCTGACATTGTGGGCTTTGGGGTGGGGGAGCCGTCTCTCCCGGCACTGAAACCTGTGGCCAATACCTTCGTAATGAATATCTTTGCACACTGGGTTTGGGATTGTCCCCAGGGGAGTTTCCATTGCTGGCAATGGATGTTACTGAAATGGCGGAGGCCTTTAAATGAGTGTGTCTGTATTTCCCCCTCTCCACCACGCACGTCCCATCGTCATTCTCGATGCAGGCTCCCGGCAGCGCCGGTCACGCAGCAGGTCAGGGTTCACCTCTGCAGGCCACGGGATGCCGACGGAGTGGAATGTCCTTTTTTTCCCAACAGATTGAGCTGTAGAGCAACTTGTGGTTGCTAACGCACCCTGCACTGTGCTGACAGAGGAGCCCGGGCTCTCATTCTGTCTGTCATAGCTAAGTACCCTGTGCTAATTTGCATCACTTCTTTTACTGACCTTCTGGAGAAACAAGTGCTGTCACTGTGCTCTGTACCTCGGGCTCCTGTACAGCACAGCAGGTACTGGGGAGGGGAGCAAGGCCAGGCGGGCGCAGCGCTGAGGCGTTAGGGGTGAAGCAGGAGGAGGCTCCTGCACAAGAACTTGCTCCTATTGGAAAAATCTGAGTTCCATGGAAAGCAATCAATAAACAACTACAGTGCATCTTTCCTACAAGAACCTTCTTTCACTAGTGTCTTTTAGTCCATTAAAAGCTTTTGAAACTAATGTGAACGCTATCAGTTTCTTTACCATCCCGGAGCTGGATAACAGCCTGCCTGCTGGCAGCAGCACACGGTTGCAGCACAGCCCTCTCTTGCAATGCATCACCTTTTTCTCCTCCTGACCGTCTTTTGTACCAATCAGGAGACAAGGGAGAGAGGGAATTCTTCCCCATCCCACCCCTGGCAGTGACACACGGTGATGTACCCCATGGTGCCCTCTGGGCTGGCACATCTCTGCTCCTTGCCCCCTCCCAGCTTGCTCAGAACGGAGCTGCAGGAGCGCTGCATTCACTCTCCCCGCACTGAGGTCAGCACATCCTCGTGCTTCTGTCAGTGACAGAACGCTCACTGCCCTTCGTTACTGCCCATTTATAGACAGCACTCGAGCCAAGTAGGGCCACACGACGGGAAAACCGCACGGCGGCTGCGGCGCACCAGGAGGGCCGCCCCGTGCCGCCGCCTCAGCCGTCTGTCCTCACAGCCGTCCGTCCTCACAGCGCTTTTCTGAGCAACACCGGCAAGGAAAGCCGGCAAGGAAAGCTGCGGGGGCCGGCGCGCTGAGCCCCTCCGCTGCCGTGCGGGAGCAGGAACCCAGCCCTGCTCAGCATTAAAGCCAGCAGCTTCCTAAGTTAGCACACATCCTCACAGCACAGCCTTGGGGCCGGCGCTGTGCGCCCGCGGCACCACCTGGACCGAAGCGGGGCAGCAAAGCAGACGCGCAGCAGCAGCCGCTGGAACAGCACCATCGGTTCAACATTTAACACTGCGTCCAAGGAAACGAAAACACATCTAGTTTTATATGCATTTAATAGTTTACCAATTGGTACAATAAGATTTTTTTAATATGCAGAAAACATGAATAAATTTTGTTTTACACAGTCTGAGAGCAACAAATCTTACTGTAAAACACAGAGCAGTATTATATACATTCCTTTACTATTTTTTGTTGTTTTTTTTTTAATCGTGTCAATATCTTTAGTTAACTCCTACAGTCTGGGAACTGTTTTCTCCAATTGCAACCTGTAACATCATTCTTATGGAAAAAATTCAGCGTTTGCCTTCAGGTCAATGCCGGGACCAGCTCCTACAGCTCGAAGATGTCGCTAACTTATCTTCAGGGTGAGTCTGGGGAAGCCTGAGCGCCAGGCGGGACAAAAAGCAGCTACTTACGTGACACAGTGAAAAGATAGAAAGGCCAGTTGAGCCCAGGTGTGACTCGGACATCCACCCCAACCTTCCCCACTCCTAACATCTTTATCCCTACCATTTTATGCACATATTCTTTGCTAGAAGATTCTATTGACTTCTTTTTTTAAATACACTGGACTTAATGTACAGTTGGACAGCAAATAACTCATTCTAAGTGCGTTTTTCCTTCACTCAACTTAGTATCTGTTCTTTATATTCAAATCATTAAAAGGATTATCAAGCCACCACTGTCTACAGAAAAGGAAAAAAAACGAACAAAGTCTCTTTCTCTTTTAAATAGCTTTCATGCGAGCCAAAAGCTATTTAAGAGTGCTAGTGTCAGGCAGCTCACGTAAAGACAGGAGGAGCGCAGAGGAGCAGCAGTGCTGATGGAAGGGGACGCGCGGTGTGACGGCAGCCCCAGCTCCCACCCAGCACCACGCAGCCAGCACAGCTCACTGCAGCTCCGGCTCTCTCTTTACTCGGTGCCCGGGCACACCATTGGTCACACCACACACAAAAGCAGGACGGTTTTCTTAAGTCTTCTAAAGTGCAAGATGCGATAAAACATCACCTCCAGATTACGTCTGAACCACAATAAATGTTGCACTTTCAAGAATACATCTAAGACTTCCTGGGCACATTACACGAGTGTGGCACTGGAATGTCTGTCTGTTAAGCCAAGCAGCAGTCTGTATGGTCTGTGTGTAGCATGGTTTAGATGCAGGCATTTTTTAAGCAATGCCGATTTTAGTACGAAAAGTGACAAAGCAGCAGTGAACCTCTTCAACCCCCAACAGTTTGCAAACCAAACCAGTAGCCTCGGCGTATCACAGGAAAGGCACAGCATCAGGCAGCTGACAGAACATTGCAAACAGTGAAAAAGTTCAACACAGTGTAACACCACAGAGCAACACTGCAGAAGAGCCTCACAACTCCACCTCCTGCCTTGTGGGTTCAGGTTTTGTCTTTTGTCTAAACAGGGCTTTCGCTTTTGATCCGTTCAGGACCATCCCTGAGATTATTCACTGCTCATTAAAGAAGGCTGCAAATTGCATTGCAGAAGTACTCGGCAGGGCGCTTCGCACAAGCAATTAAATGCTGCTTACGTTCGTTAGCTGTTTCCTCCTGCAAACAGCCCTATGCTACAGCGAAAAACGCAGCAGACAGTTTCCACTTAATAGGTACCTTTAGTTTCTCATCATGTTTATGAACTATGTACACAAGTGTGGTTTTCATACTTAAATCAAGTTTCTGGGCTCTATCGGGAGCTGAACTGACCGCCTCCTTTACCACTGCAGTGCACTGAGGAACTTTAAGATGCGCTATTGTGTATCTGAGTTCCTGAATAGCACAGAGCAGCAAATTCTTCCAGTCCACGCAGCTAATGAAGATAAAAATACTTTATTTCTGCGTGCCTAAGTGCAGAAACACACACTGGAAATGACATAAGCCACTGGATTTGAGAGGACTGCCTGAACCTTGCACTGGCTCCAAACCCCACACCCCAGAACCCCATTTCCTCACCGCTTCCAGGGGCAGCTCTGCACAGCAGCAAACTGAGCTCTGCCTGCACACAACGGGTCCTCCTGGGGCAACTGTAGGAAATCAGCACCGCATCCCGCACACCTCGCAGCGTTACTTTTAAAAGGGACAGTTTTAAAAGCCATGTATTAAACAAAATGAGTAAAAAAGCACAACTTCACCTGTTAAAATGTCAGACCAGTATTTCATCATAGTGGAAATTTTAAAGGGGATTTTTTAAAAGACATGGTTAGTTCAGTAAGTACGGGAATTCTTAGTTCTCTATAATGGAATTTGTCACAAAATGCTAATTAAAATATTAACTTATTTTCTTCCACTTCAGACCAAAGTATGTAACTCCAGGGATATGCAAATTAAAAACTGACTCTACCAGACAAGGCAAAACACCAATAACCAAAAGCTGGGCTGCTTTTGTGGATAGGATTTGGTTTGTAGTTGTTCACTTGACAGTATAATTCCCCCAGCTGGGTTCTTTTTGCTGATGGCATTTTGCTTTTCTTTTAGAAGCCTGTATCAATTTGTACCTGCCATTATAATCCAATGCTCAAGGTATTTAGTGCTTTCTTTAAAGCATTTAAATACTATATCCAGAGATATTTCTTCATACGCAAGCCACAGAAAGTTTTTATTTAAGCCACGCTGCCTTGTCAAGTTGAATATAACCTCATATTCAAAAGGGTTCCCAAGGAGGCATTAAAGAAACCGGGACAGCTTCGTATAACCCAACCTCCTGCATGTGAACGTAAGGGAAGTGTACTTTGATACTGTTGTGTAATAGGAATTGCACATCTCTAACAAACATTGAAAGCAAACAGCAAGTTGTACCATGGCAGTCATTTGGGAGATTAAGCTCTACTGGAAATCAGATCACTAAATTCTAGTGGGATGGACAACTCCTCCTGGAAGTTCGTCTAGCATTAAAAAAAAAAAAAACTGAAAAAACCCCACATTTAAACTTAGTTTAACAGCACAGTTTAACCACTGAATGACCAAATAAAAAATAAATACATTTATCACATCAGCTGCTACTAGGATTTGTTGTCTTATTTCAGGTTTACAGTTAGTCATATAAATATACCAACCCTTGCGTGATAGGAGGCCAAAACAAAGTGTATTCTGTTGATTTGGCAAATGTTTCATGACAAATATTCCAAAGTTTAATTAATTTCCATTAATTACATATAAGGTTCAGAAGATTCTGACTTGCAGCCTTATTATCTAGTACTCTTAGAGAAGATTTATTAAGCACACTTAAGTGATGTTACATAGATACACATTTCTGAAAGAGCCCTACAAAACCTTTCCCAAATGAGGTCACCAATTCAGGCACCAACAGACAGCAGAAAGAAAAACAGGTATAATTATCCGACACAGAACGACACTGTCAACTATTCAGTTAAGTGCCCTATTTCAATCATCAAACTTCTGCCTTCTTAGGTCTGATGTGACCAATGCCAGCCCATGTTCTTAAACCTATGGTACTTCTAGACAACGTATGTAAATTTACAGTATACAATTTGGATTCACCATGCATGAATACTTTGTGTGTAACATTTAATAAGCTCAATCTACATCCAGAATAATTTACATGAAAGGACAATATTTATTTAAACAGAGCTCAATGGGTAACCATGGTATCTGAGTGCATCCAGAGGAGAAAGGGGTCAAATGTGAAATCAATCAACGGCACTCCCACACTTTTACTGTTTGATCTACACTTCCAGTAACCACATATGGTGCCGTCTTGTGGAAATCTGCGAGGAAAGAAAAGGGTACATTAAGAATGAGTGGAACAGTCTCACACTCTCTCAGTGAATGCCATTACTTCTTCCCCAAAAGCAATACCAGCTCAAAGATTAAATCTCAAAGCTCTGCAAGTTTGTTGTTCTGAAGGCAAATTCGCTGATGTGTATAAAAAAACTCTTTAGTTTGGATATAAAAAGTTTTGTAGAAAGGGGGGAGCTAACAGCTATCACAATCTGGTAATGCCAACCTACAATGCCCAGGAATTCAAGTTAAACACTTTTTCCTGGCTTTTACTTTTTCCCCCCTTTCTCACAACCCTCCTCCTTTTGGCTAACAAGTGTTTGTAATGCAACACTCCCTAAATCCCTGCAACTCAAGCAGTGAAAGCTTCCAGAACACTCTGACAGTTAGCATCTTTATCTCATACAACAGTGGCAACAGAAAATTCCAGAACGCCTGAAATTCTTATCTATCCCTATTTGATTAAAATACAGCACAAAACATCATGGGAATCCCAGAACGTGAATGCCCAGCTTGGTCCTCAGCTGGTAAAGATGCAGAAGAACTTGTCTCTCTGGTTCTGTATTTTGAATCTAGTACTGGGGAACAATACATACCCAAAGAGGTAACAAAGTGTTCGTGCGCATTGAGGGTTTTCATGCATCGTTTGTTCTTGAAGTCCCAGACACGTAGAGTCTTGTCATCAGCACAGCTCAAAATAAACTTTCCCCCAGAATGGAACAGAACGCCACGTACCCAGTTATCGTGGCCCACCTTGTGCACAAGGAGACATCAGTGAGCAGATGCATGTTTTAAGGTCAAACAGACTACAGTTTATGCTATGGCAAGCCGAGTAACTCTGTGCCCTTTGCCTGTAGTGACAGCATTTAGCATTCCAAAACTACTGGAATTCAACGTTTATCTTCAGTTTCTATTATTACATGTTTATCAACACCACCAACAATGTGAGTTCCTGTCCTTGAAGGCAAGCAAACAGGAGTTCCCATGTGATCTGCACTGATTCTCTTTCTCACCCCCTGCAATAACAGCTAGTTCAGTCTGAGCACAGGCTGTAGGACAACCACACTGAAAGAACAACATTTTACTGAAGACAATATTCAGCTGATTATCAGCAATTCCATGGGAAAGGCAAGTTCCTTTCCAAGAAGTACACCACTGTACTCCTGCATTTATACTACATATTTTGAGACTTATTATTTCTTAGCAACAAAAGCTGAAATACAGAAGCCATTAAAACTGTATTTCCAGCGCATGTCTCATTTCAACAACTCTAACTTCTCTTGAAAACAAACATGTAAGATGGTTCACTCCATGAAAGCTGGTGTTATACATGCAGCTATCACCAAAGAAAAACACCACCACACTTACAAGTGTCATAAGGCACATGCCAGTGCTGATGTCCCACATCTTTATGGTCTTGTCTCTGGATCCAGACAGCAGAAACGGCCCAGGCTTACCACTCTTCTTAGTCTACAGAAAATTATGTTTTCATTATGGCACATAAAGGAAGGGGAGAAAGCAGATCTTAAGTGCTGCTATTACTTAGATTGTATGATAATTAACAGCACATAAACACACAATACCAAAGCTGGGATTCACAGGCATTCTGTTACTAGTAGTATGGAAAAAAAAAAAGAAAGGAATTAAAATTATGTACACAGATTATTTATGTCCCGCTGATATACCAAGACAAATGAAATACTCTTAATCCAAGCTTTCCACCTGCAAGACATCTGCTTCAAATATACCAGTAGATACAGTCCAAGTAGAGTCTAACACCTCAGAACAAAAGCATATGAAGTTCAGACATACCTTTGGGTTGTCATCCTTTACATAAAGTAATGAAGTTCAACAGTTTCGGTAAGTCCCTACTCTGAAATTATTTCCATTTGTAACCATGCCAAGTAGGAACGAGAGACTCAGTTCCCAGAACCTGAAATCTTTCAACTGTGACGTTAACTTTAGCTTGCTCCTTCCCTTAAGCTAAGAATTACAGTGTGATGTATACAGCCATCAGACCAGCAGAGGGCAGGAGACACACCACTCCAGGTAATTACCACTGCATGAGGAAGGAAACATTTCGAATTTACATGTCATTGTTTTTAATAAAAAGACTGTAAGGATCTTTTAAGGATGCAAGCAAAATTTAACTGAAATAATCTGGTCAGTCCATGAACAGACAAGTTCCTGCCTCTTTGTTATGGTTTTTATAAGCTTGACATTACTTTCTTCTACACAGTCATCCTTAAAAGGAAATCCATGTGAACCTCTGGTAAGCCTTTCTTCAGGATTTGGTAACCAAGCCAAAGAATGTACATCCATGACCATACACATGGAGACTTTTAAGAATGCTTCCTCATATCATTCACTTTGTACACTACGAAGCTGAGGTCAAAGCTTAATTTAATTTCAACAGCAGTTTGAATTACACCCAAGGTAGCTTCATTTCTGCATTTTTAACTTGCTATTCCCCTCCCCACGTCTTTCATTGCCAGGTAACATGAACATTATGAGGATACATTAGCTAAGCTGCCTTTCACATTGCTTCATGGAAGTATGTAGTGCGGTTCAACTCTCAACCTTCTCAGAAACAGAGCCTCTCTCTAAATGTCCCTTTAGACATACCCCTGCATAGGTAGGGCCTTACTGTTAAAACACAAAAGCACACAGTGCCTACAAAGCCAAGCTAGGGATTAATGGTACAACAAGTATAAGCAGCAAAAAGGAAAAAACCACCACCAACTCAAAACACCTGCTATGCCTGCCAAGTGCTTTGAGAACAAAACTTAGAAGTTATATATTTATTAGCACTAGAAACATTACCTCTGATCCTGTAGCTTCTGATATGGTGGAGTATGAGCTCTCAGGAGCCCAGGAAATGCATTCTACCACATGCTCATGTTCTCGGAGCTCAGCTTTGCATTCCTTTGTTGCTACCACCCAAACACGCACTGTCTGGTCATTAGAACAACTGGCAATTAAGGTGCCATCCTGGTTAGGCCGCACCATGCGCACCCATTCTCTGTGACCCGTGAAAGTCTTCACACAGTAACTATTCAAAACAGAGAAATACAGAATGATACATAAGCACTGCAATAAAGCCACTACACACACCTCTGATATTTAAGGACACTTGATCTCCCCTCAGAAGCTTTAGCAGGCATATCAGTCCTGACTGATGTACAAGGCCATAAAGCAGTTCATGGGGAGGAAGCTTGTATGAAAAAAGAACAGTTAAGAGCCACCAAATACTTTTTAAGGGAGAAAATAGGAGGCTGCTGACATTCCAACTTGTGTTAAATAGGTATTTTAAGAACATAGAGATTTACAAATCATTCAGATAACGTTTACACTCAACCTGGAGTAAATGGATGCATCAGAGAGACTACTGAATAATGAAACAGACAAAACAAGTCTTCCCAGGTCAAGAAAGATAGCAGATTCCCCCTTCCACTTGTCACAATCCCTTCAAATTTGCAATTAGTCACTAAATTCCTACCTGGTCTTGAGTTACAGTGTTATACCTCCATAACTCCCAGAAAGATAAAATCAGATACTTTTAACGGGTGGCTACTAAAACCCTGCACTTAATAACTTAATGCAGAACCCTGCCATTGACAACTGTGTCAAGGTGCACGTGGTACATTTCCTATTACAAGTATTTTTTGCAGGTTTTCTTTAGGCAGTGATGTTTGCCCAGAACTGCACTCACCCTGTCTGGACTTCCCACATTTTGATAGTTCTATCCCTTGAGGCAGAAACTATATGATCTCCATTGGGCATGATGGCTACCGAAGAAACATTATGATCATGACCTAAAAAGAAAAGCAAACTTTTATTAAGTGGTATTGTAATACTGTAATACTGCATACAGGATCTGCTATTCATTCTTCTTGATCAAGTAGCTACAGCAGAAGCCTTCAGCGTGCTTTATGGAATAATCACTGAATATAAGCATGAAGTTTTACATAAGTCATTTATATTTTTAGAAACCATGCAGTCCAGCCATTGAGCAGCTTCTAGGATTGTTTCAAAAAACATCTTTCAGGTGTTTTAAAAACAGACAATCAGCTCTGCAAGCACCGCTTTGTAACAGTTGCCAAACCCAGCAGCTACTATGACTGTATTTGAAATTACCAGGTAAGTCTGATTACAGTGTTATGATGCACCACTCAGATGTTTCAAAGGAAAAGAGGTCTTTTTCTTTGGTCTGTGTGTGCTTGTTCTTACAAAAATTCTCAAACATTATTACTGCTCATCACTTCTACAAGATGATATTAAAGTGAGATAAGCAGTATAAAAACGTTCTTATATCAAGACCATAAAACAAGTTGCTGTCGATAACTGAATCCATGTGGTGGTTGTTTTACTTCCCCATTTTTTCCCCCATGGCTTTTGATTCTAATGCAATGGGTACACTCATTTGATATCAGACAAGTCTGAAGCAAAAGATTGTACAGAATACAAAGAACACTTTCCATACTGCTTCATTCCTGAGTCAGCACATTCTGGAAACAGAGCGGTGCAGATGAAGACAGCTTTCTAGTGATTTGACAGTACAGTTTTTGTTATCTAGTAAGCATTTAATTTTTTAGTGCTCCTCTATATTTACCATTTCATTTCAGGATCATCATGGGGTGCTTCTCCACAGCATTGTGCATAGCAGATCTGAGATGCTATTTCATTCCAGAGACACCGAACATTCACTCCATTTTACAGAACACTTTAAGCATTAAAAATAACCCCTTTCGAGTAGAACTCTGATTTATTTCCCTTTCCACATCTGCAGTTTTTCTCATTCATAAAAACCAAAACACCACAAAACAAAGCCACACCTCTACTTTACAGACTGTTAATTTCCTTTAAACCTTACCATGCATAGTTCGGATGCACTCAAAGCCCTGGAAATCCCATAGCTTAATGGTCATATCAGCAGAACAGGAGGCCAACAGTTTGCCAGTGTGGTCAAAAGAAATATCTTGCACGGAGTCTGTATGCCCCTTAAGGGTTCGTTCGAAGTCTCCTGTCTCATAATCCCACACCTGACAAGCAAACAGAAAACCCATTAACAGTAACATATTATTACTCCCTGTATTCTCCAGCCTTACATTTGCACTCTAAAAACCAGTCTGGCATCTTATTCAATAATTAAACGAGCAAGAAACAAAGACAGACAGACCTAAAAAAGCCTAATGTTGTAAAAAAAAGCACTGTTTTAAGATGATCATTAACTATATATCCTACACATCTTTCTATATTGTTCCCTCAACTCTGGTACATAGCCTGTTTTCAGTTAGTGGGAGAAGCACCTTCAATAACTCCCCCTGCTCCTTTTTTGTGGTTTCAGAAACTACTCACTGCTTCAGAATCAAACAGCAAACACTTGGTCTGCTGCAGGGCAATAACCAGAATATATTGGTTTAGGGATGAGACCCCAAATCACAACTAGGAGTCTGACATACACATATTAGCAAGATTACAGAATTTGGAAAAGGTTAAACTGTCTGCAGTTAATAGCTGCAAGATAGCATGAAGTCCCATTCCCACCTCCTAATTAAGTTAGTCTTCTACCATCTAACCATAAACAAAAGCCTTTGAAACAAAACAAACTTCTACAGATTGTATTGTGGGTCTCCAAACACAAAATTAGGCATTTCATTTTTAATTATATCCTGAATAAAACAAAAAAGCCCATCATCAACAGTGAAAGAATTCATAATCCCCAGCAGATTTCAATCTCTGGGAATGGAACAGTCAAATTATGCTATGCAGCTATATTTCAATACTACAGATATTCATTCACAGTATCCATAAAAGTTAAGAAACAACCAGGCTAGTCAAGCTCCTCTGAACCATCCAACAAGCAGAGAGCTGTCACTGCTGCAGAGGACTCAGTCTGCTTGAGGAAGAAGATAAGATTATGCTTCCTATCTGCCACAGAAACAATGGCATGAGGGTTTCTCCTTAACTGTGTCTGACTGCCACTTTCTAAACCTTCTCCAGCAGGTAGTTACTGTCAGAACAACTCACATTTCTAAGCATGTTACTTTCAATACTTTTCAACCTTTGTCAGGACAACATTTTTCCAAAACGTTTTCAAAGAAGCACAGATGGCAATTTCCCTTAAACAGTGACATTCAGAGAGCAAAAAAGTGCACAATTACATCTTTACTTGGTGCTAAAATGAGAAACCACTTGCCTACCACAATAAATCTGTTCTTGTCATTTGTACACTGTAATAAAGGTGCATGAAGATCATTTAGAATAACTGAAAGTCTCTCCTAAAACTCACAGCAACTTCACGAGACCTGCATGTGCCACTTAAAAAAAATGGGAAGAACCACTCTTCAGTTAAGGATACAGCTGCACAACCTCTCTACCTAAGCCTTAGATGACTTCAGGAAACTCTTCCTCCCTCTCATCTCTGTATGCTCTCTATGCCACTTTCTCTTACTGAGCAGTCAAAATGCATTCCCCCCACCATTCATTGTTTCAGTCCCTAATCCACAGTAGCTCAAGTATTTCTTTTCAAGTCTAGTAAAACATACTTCCAGATAGTAACTGAACCACCATAAAACCAAAATTCATATATCACACCAGGAATCATATTTGAAATAACTGTCCCTAATGAAGCTAAAGCAGAATCCGAAGCAATCTTTCATCAGTACAACACATATTCACCATGAAATAGTGGTGCTACATACTGATCTGCTTCATTTAATTTTCTCCAGCAAGCACATACCTTTATTGTGGCATCCTCTGAAGCAGAAACCATTACACTGAAAACCGGATGGAAAATTACTCGAGTGACAGGACTCCTATGTCCACTCAAAGCATACTTCTCTGGAGGACGAGGGATCCACTCCTTAGGGTCTCGTTTCTGACCAAGAGGTCCACCTGATGTAAATTCTTCCTTAGCTTCATTCAGCTTCGATTCTAATTCCATTACCTAAGTTTATGGATTTTAAAGAGACCATTTATGTATAGCCTTATACCAAGACATAAGCCATCTATAGTCATTAGTACCCCAAACACTAACAGGCTTCCAAATTCACAATTTAGCCCAAACTGCACAGATCCAAAACAACTAACAACAAAGCTATAGAGCTGATATTTCTGAATTAAAAAAAAACCATACCTAAATTAAGCACTTATTCTCCTCCAACTTCCCAAACACATCTGGCAAGAAAATAAAGTTCCACCAAAACATATCACCTAAATACTGTGCAAAGATGTACGAGCAACTGACTCAAAAGGGACAGGGCTTTTGTGTACGTTGTGTACGTTGTGTAAGTTTTCTCACTTATTTGGTACTTCTGACGAACTACTGAGGGAATTTTTGTTAACAAAAACATATCCTACTACTGCAATTTGCTTTTTGTATGTGTATGAGATGGTGTGTGTGTGTTAACAGCAGACAAACTGAACGTGTGATACAATCTTATGTATACTGACCTCTATAATAGACAGGCCATTACTGTTGGTACACTTTGATTTTTAAGGCTTTTAATGCCCTCCAGACCCACTGAAGCATTACTAAAAAGAGTTTTGTACCATCCATTCGCAGAAGAATCACATGCTGTAGTGCACTGGAGTTAATGGTTTCTTCCCTTTAATGTAATGGCCAAAAACATCATCCCGGGTTACTTCTAACTGAGTTAAGCCTTCTGGAGACAGTTATTCAGTCTTTCCATTCACAGACTGCCTTAGGGCACATCTTTCCTTTTCCGCCTCAAATTGTACATACAACCCATAAACTGAAGTAAATAAATGTTCTTAAAGAAATTGAGAGGATGTTTCTGCTAGCGCTAAGATGGACAAAGACTTTCTACAACAGGGACATAGCTATTTTCCCCTGCTCAAGTCATGCAAATTAATCTTCTCCTTCCTGAGAAGGAAAAAAATGTAACACTCTGTTCACTGATGAATGTTCACTCTTGGTTATAACTTTTGATACAAGTGAATCTATCAGATCTCTACATACCTTCTTTTGTAGTCTTATAACCGATGTCCATTTTTTCTCCAGAAGTCCGGCATACTTCTTATCTAACTCTTCATTCTGGGCAGGAGGGTTTAAAGAAGTCAGTAAGTTATACATCCAAAGCCTCTACAGGTTTCTCCAAAAACAACACAGACAGCTCATTTCACAGAAAAATCAAACAGAAGATTATGATCAGTTTTACTAACAAAAGGGAACAATTGTACTTAAATTTTAATAAACCACAGTTTGTACACAGGGAAAAGAAGAAACATTAAAATATATATATTTTAATTAAAGATACTGCAGTAATACAGATTAACGATGAAAGATTCTGCAAAGACAATCCCAAAAACTAGAACTAGCCATCAGTGTCTGAAAGCTTTTAATTCTTATGTGCTCTGCATATCTGAGAAAATTGTGTCCCATTTTACTTTTTTTTCCTCCTGCACACACTGACAGCAAGGACTGAGGCTTTCAGGACTGGATATCAGTTTCTCCAATAGTCGTCTTTTCCACACCCACCAACTAGAGCATTAGGAACTAGTGAACAACCTACACAGCCCAGACTGAGCTCACACAGTACTGTTCGCAAAGCACCCTTTTTTCCTCGGAGAAACGCATCCTGCTTGAGAGCAGCAGCCAACATCCAGAGGACAATTCAGCCTAAACTAATTTAGAACTATTTTTGAAAACATGATCATAGTTAACTTCAAATAACAGCCGTGACATTGCACAGTTTTGTGCAAAACCCTCAGCCAATCCTGAAGTTTGCTCCGCAGCATCTCTACACCCCAGGAGCCACAGCAGCCACACTGACCCAGCCCAGGACCAGCCTACATCTTGGGAAGATCAACGCTACTTTTCTATCTCTAATGAACCACTAACGATGCATAATTTTCATCCTCTGAATATATTTTTCTCCTTTGGGCTTCAGGCAGAGACTGAAGAGCAAAGCGAGCAACCAATGTTCCAGCACAAGCCTGCTTCTCTTTGCTTCTTGCCATTTTAGTATCATCTCATCTAATTCAGATTTTTCTTCTGAAAATGTCACACAGAACTTTAAGCAACTGCATTATTTTTTTTTTTTTAATCAAAATAGGACAACCTAGCCTATTTAGATTGCCTTTTTAACCACTGGGAAGAGAAGATTTAATTAGGTTGATAGATATGAGCAAATATGGGAATGGTATTAGGAATTTCGATGTTAAGTATCCCAATTTGTAATCTCTACTTATTTATTACATACTTAGAAGCAGATTTTGCTGCTATAAGATGTTATACTTCAACAAAGGATTTTGGGAAAAGTACTCCACAGTAATTCTCCACAGTAATTCCAACAAAGAGAAGGCTCTATTAAGGATCATCTCATCAAGCTTACTACTCAACCCAACTATCTCCAGAGAAGCTACAATGAAATACAAGCCTCTAGTAAATGACAAGTTTAAAAATTAAACTGTAAGAAGTGACTGGTCCATGTCACCAGCATCTCTTTGGCCTGACAGAGAACTGCTTAACAGAAACTGGTCAGCTCCGCTAACTGTTTAGCCACATCCTCCTACTACATCGTTAACCAACCAGTATGCATGCAGCACTCACAGGTAATGGTTTAACTACTGACCCAAATGCAGTCACAAAACAGACAACGTCTTTTCCACCTTCAATGAAGTACAAACCCTCTCACTCAAAGCAAGATCAGCTGGAACTGCTCAGGACACATCCACACACTTACTGAATATTTCTATGGACTGGCTCCACAACATCTGAGCCTGTTCCAGTGTTCAGTCAAAAGGTTTCGTTTTTAAAGTTTCATGCTAAATTCAGATGGAACTGCTATATTTCAATTTCTGCCCATTGGCTCTTGTTCTGTCACTGAGCAGAGGCAGAGCCTAGTTCTGTTTTCTTTACACCCTCTTATCAGGTATTTACAAACATAAGATATCCCTTGAGCCTCCTCTTCTCTAGGCTAAACAGCCCCAGCTCTTACAGCCAGCATCTTCCTTGTCTTTTACTGGACTCACTTCAGTAACTCCAGATCTTTTTTTTTTTTTTTTTAAATACAGTCTCTATCATCTTCCTTATACCTTCACATTGCCTTTCATTAACTTTGCTTTCCAGCAGCTTTTATCTTGAAAGATCCAGGCCCTCCCAGGATCACTGTACAAACCAGTGGTAGCTAGGGAGAAAGTAAGATTAAGTCTATGCCTCAGTCACAAGTAGAAGATAAAGAGTTTTACTCAAAACTCATTAAGCCATCTGATAATTGCATTTTAATTGTATTGTAAGACAATAAGCTATGCAGGTGTACCACCTCCAGTACTAACTGCATGTGCTAATAGGTAGATAACAGGCATACATATTCACAACAAATGCAAATACTATAAAATTATGAACTCTTTACTTAAAATATACACATAGAATTTTGTTTGAACTCACCACATCTAACTCAGCTTCCTTTTTAAAAACTGAATATGCCTCTTCATAGCCATTAGAGCGAAGGTAATCTGCTATTGCTCGATTTCTAAAAAAAACACAGAACCAAAAACACAATCTTTAGCCTGTTAGCTCTGAATAAGAGTACAGGGATCTGTTCAGGGCTTCTCCTTGAATTGTACCACCTTGTATCAACACCCAGGATGATCAGGCTTGTTATAAGCCCAGGCAAACTCTAAGAATACATTTGGTAAACATTTTGTATCAAGACACAAATAGCAACATGCTCACTTCTTAGAATACATACTCCTTATTTTAGATTTGAGAAAGTAAAAGGAAAAGATTATTTCTTTTGTTACCAAACATTGGAGTAGCATGAATATACTTATCAATCTGTATGGCATAAAAACCAACAGGAGACACAAAAAATGATAACTACATGCACATATTAGATTGGGGCTTTATCTCTGAAAGACGACTACATTGAGAAGAACAGTCTGCAGTACTTAAAAGCATTCACTGAGTTCTACACTTCAGAGAAATGTGAACGCTCTGCTTAAGAGAACAAGCCTTAGCTTTGTTTATCAGAATGATGCAGTAATTTTAGTTAGATTACAGGGAAGGATACTCCATGTGACCAAAACATACAGTGCTTCCAATTTTACATTTTTGTTCAAAACACTCTTCTGTGACAAAAGATTACTACTGAACTGATCTGTCTTGGACCTTTCCTTCGAGATAACATGCATTTGGTTTAAAACTACTCATAACATGAAAGAACAGCTTCAATACTGCTTGTTGAAGTCTTAGAGTAGTCATCTTCCAGTTTGTTTTTTTACAGTAAGACTGAAGGAAAGGCTGCAGGCATTGAGCAGACGGACGAGGTCCCATCCACTCTCAGCTATTCTGTGCGTGGGTACATACATGTACAGTCAGCACATGCAGTGACTACAGGATTTACATAAACCAAAAAACAAACTTCTTAAATACAAAAATCAGGATGTCATCTATGTAAGGCATTCAATAAAAAAAAAAAATAAACCTCTTTGGTAGCTTAAGTAAAAAGTAATAATGGCAGTGCTTCTACAGGAATAAAAAGGCTACTTCTAATTCCAAATCAAGATGTATTCCATTTCATGCAACTATGCCATCTGCTTCTGAATTACAGAAAGCAATCAAGCTATGGTGAAAGAGACAGGCCAGGTCCTCAGTGACTGAAATGCAACATCCCTTCACAGCTCCCCAGCAACCCCACCACCGCTCAGCCCTTCACATGACGACTTGTCACTTGCACTTTATTAACAGTGTGGGACATGTTTCAGAGGCACTGCTCTGCTCCTGGTTCTCAGCACTACACTCCCCATAACACATCACATGGGGAGGAAGGCCCTTGCACAGCAGGCAGACGAGGGCACAGGTGCTGGCAGACATCTAAAAATAGGTATTTTACATCTATGTTGAAGCACATAGCAAAGAGCATCTGGAAAAGTAGAACATGTTAAATATTTGGTACACATTGTGGTCAATGCTGCATTGCAATTGATTTTATTCTGAGAAGAATTGCTTTTCACTGGAAAACTCTTTCCATAGCTTTAATCACATTCTTCTTTCTTATCTCCTACACAAATCCAGCCTCCCCTCAGACATTCAGCCCTGTGACCTCAAGTAAAAGTTTCCCATATATTTATTCCCATATACAAAATACATGAAAACAACGTTGCCTTCTTCTACAGAAGCAATCACAGTCTCTATCATTCCCCATTTCTATTTACAAAGGGGACAACCTCCCCATTTATGTTTGTACTCTTTGAAGTGTTGCACAAGAACTTCAGGTAATTGATAAATAATTGTAATCATGAATGTGTTTAAATCCCAGGGCTTATTCAAATAAAAAATTTTGAAGATAACTTGTAACTAACTTAAGAAGCTGTATTCAGACACCACAGGAGACACCAAAGCTAAATGATACAGGTCCATATGTTTATGAATAAAGTCAAACCACAATCTCTAAGTGAATACAGTTGAAAATGAAAACTATTAGTTCAAGCTTAATGAAAATAAGATAAACATAGAAATAACTCTTCCTTACAGTTCATCTCGTTGCCTTTGCGAGAGCACCATTGTGGCTGTGATGTCAGATTAAAGTGTGTCAGGTTAATGTCTCCCCAAGATCTGAAGCCTTAGGATCCACAATTCAGTCTGCCACAGTGGCTCAGAGCACAACTGTTTCTCCAGATGGGAAATCCAACAGAAAATCTGGAGGCATTCAACACAGAAGATTCAATCCATCTAGAAGAAAGAAAAAGAGATACTGTTAATTTATTTTAAATAAGCATTCAGTCACTCCGAGCTGATGAGCAGATTTACGTACCCAGATCACACCACCACTCTGGACAGAATAGAACAACTTTATCTGCAATCACAATTTTACTTTGGAAGCCTGGATTCTGCCCTCACAGCACATTTCCAGTCTGGAGACACTTGTACACATTCTCTATTCCTCCTCTTTCTCCCACTGCTGCTTCAAGAAACAGGGAGCTAAAGGAGTTACTTTCACACACAGCCCAGTCCCAGGTGTCTACCTTAAATAACAGGCTTGTTGATCTCACTAGTCCTATCGAAGAGCTACCACCACAAATCCTCTATCCTTGCGCAAGATTTTTATTGTTTGAAGATCTATAGCTTCACCAAAATGTGCTCAGCAAGGTTTATTTCAGTTAAGTTTCAACACGCTCTCATATCTTCCAGCTTAGTGGTAGAGTTTAAGCAGAAAGGAGCATGTTCCCACAAGGGACGAAGGGAAGCACTACGGCACACTTAGCTCACAACCAGCACTGTCAGCACGCCCTGCTCACTGCTGCAGCTCAGCTGTGGCATTATGTTAGGCACTTCTCTGGACTCACCCAAACAGTGCCCTTAAAGAATACACATACAATTCAGCACCTGAACTTTCCAGGGAGACTATTACACTTATTAAACAAATTACTTTTTCTGTCCTATCAGCACCACCTGAATAAATTCCAAATAATACCATTCTGAAGAAACAATACCTGCCTTCTTCTCAGTCATGCGCTGACAGAGTTTAACTCTACACGTTAAATCTAACCCTTATTTGGGGTACATCACGTCTGTAAACGGATCTTCAGCGTTAACAGAGCAGTGCAATTTTTACAACACCAAGTTCAGAACCAGTCAAAAATCAGCCTCTTTAATTACCTATTTCTCCCCCACACTACATACTATCTTATTCAGTAATAAACATAATCTTAACAAGAGCTATTACTAAGGACATTAACTATTCTCAGTGTGCAAATGGCCTCCGTTGGACAGCTGTACCTTAGTCCAGAAGACAGCAATAAAAGCACTCGAGCAGCTCTGCCTCCTGGCTGCTGCACTGCAGGTACTCTTTCGTAAGAAGCACCATTATGAAAAATGCTGAAGCGGGCACTTCCTGCACACTGGACAAGAAGCTGCATATAACATTTACCAAAGCTGCTAAGCAAGTTTCACCAACCAACTTCTAGCAACGAGACAGAGTGAAAGCAACAGCATACAAAGACTTCAGGAAGAAGTTGGTGGGTCTGTAACCTTCCTGCCAAAAAACACATTCCCACTTTCTCTCCCTTGCTGTTTCCCATACAGGTAAGAGGCCTACTTTAAACTTCAAACTCTTAAATAATACACAAAATACTCAGCTTATTCATGTCTACTTATCCACTGCAGCAGATCAGCAGTTGCTTTCTAAACCTATCCGGGCTCCATGGTCTGTTTCAAAAGCGCAGTGTAGGTGCTGCACCTTGCTGCTGGATTCCCCACACCAGGTGCTGTCCATCACAGAAATGCACCAGGAGCTGTTAGGGCAGCAGCACTCCCTAATTAGCTTTACACCTTCCCTAATAGCTACTTCAGAAACAATTCACCTGAAAGCCAATAGCACACATTCCATCCTTTCAGACAAGGGAAGCAAACAGTTCTCATTTTCCTATCCCACCTCCTGATAGGTAAGAGACAACTGCTCTTCACAGATGCATCAAGGCAGGAGTGCAGAATATGAAGTAAGGGAAATTTAGTTTATATATATGAAATAATATATTGACATGATCAGAAAAAGTGCCCTCTAGAGGGCAATGCTGCAATAAATTTAAGTGCTAGAAAAAAAAAAGGCTCATAATGGCTGATCTCTGCACTTCAGTACAAACATAGCAACGCTGTGACAAACACTGCCAGGGAGAGCAGCGCAGGCAACCGCCTCCCCAGAAGCACACAGATCACAAGCTGTGAACTTCCAGAAACTGCTCGTAATATTCAACTGCAGTAAAATCACAGCATTAAAAACAAAGGGTTTTTGTATCGTTAACTGTCTCAGCGTCAAATGTAGTAACAGTGGCACAATAACTCTGGTAAAAATAATACACCAGTATTCCGTCAGTGCCTCGAGGAGACACACCTATAGCTTACACCTAGCAATGCCAACTAGGCTAAACAGTGGTCCTTGATCCACCATCCAGCTAACAAATGTGTTTCTGTCCTTCAGTAAAGGAACCCTAAACTCTCCCTCCTACATCCCCTACCGCTGTCCCACTCCTACTCCTTCTGACAGCAGTCCCCATGTGCTCCCAACACGTGCTGTGCTGCAGCTTTATGGGCTGCTGACAGTGACAGCTCTGCCCACCTTCCTCTGCTCACTGTCACTCTGGATGCTGAGTGAGAAGCAGCTTCCTAAGACCCGGGCACACTTTCCTCTGCCCACAGCTGCTACAATTGCACAAGAACTGCAGTGATCACACACATTCCCGCAGCAGCAAAGTGAAGGTATGCTAACATCATCCCACATTTCAGCAGTCAGTCCAGACATAGACTGGCAACCACATTCCCATGCCTGTTTAAAATAATTCAAACACAGGCTGAGGAATTAATGTCAGTATGTAGAGGTTGGATCCTTGCTCCTCAACTTGCACCCTGCCCCATTCACTCATGGGGCCACTTGAAACCCCCAACTCCCCACATACACACACTTTGCTGCCCCCCCAAGAAAAAGGCAAAGTTTGAGTGCTTCACCAACACCTGCACTTCTACGGGCCTTGTGGAGCGGTGGAGAAGCATTACCAAAAGCTTCCAGAAGCAGGATCCTCTCATTCTATCTGAGCTACAGATAGCCAATACTTGCAGGAAAACCACCATGAGGTGGCTGCTGTTTTTATTCCATCAGTGGCACTGTAAGGTCACAGCACTCAAGGTTTGAGTCCTATAAAATGCCAATGGACCACTGTGCACATCTTTTACCATTTGAAGCAGACAAGGAATTCAAAGGAGGAAACTTTCTGCAATGTAAGAAAAGCTGCTTTTATTCCCCACTAGTGAACAACATGAACTACCAGCCATGGGAAACCAAGCTGACACCTGGCTTTCTTTGGAAGCTGAACTGCAGCGACAGCACTTCAACTCTTCATAGCAGCTGCCTTGTGAAGGGCTTGTCCTCTGGGGAGTACTGGAACTGACCCTCACACTGAAAGGGAAATCATCTGGCAATCAATGCAGCTGAATATTAATACATGCAAAATCCTTTCATGAAAAGTAAGTTCCAATCTCCAGCATGATGTGAAATGCAGCAACATGGCCTAGTCACAAGTTTGCCAAAGTAACAAAGGTAAAAATCACAGCTTGTTTACCTCCAGGTGAGTTTTATTACCAGCTGGGGCAAACACTTGAAGAGTTCCTGTCCTCCACCCCCAGGTTCAGCCCCCTACAGCTTCCAAGTGATGGCTGCTTCATCTGCTCAATCTCATAATCCAGAAGATATCTTGAATGCAGCATTAATTCACTTTGTTCACACCAATGCTGCTCAATCACAGCATTTCTCTGTAAATTCAAGAGCCTAGAGAAAAAGCAAACTGCAAGTCTGTTGAACACAATGACTATTCAGAATGCAATGAATCCTCAGACTTTTTCATCGGAAGGCAAGCAGCACATCAAGCAACCTTTATGTGGATGCACTTCTTACTTGCCTCAGCTGAGCCCTCAGCATGACACGGCTCTGTAGCAGTGTGATGATGCAGTCTTCATATAAAAATAGATGATGGTGCAGGCATCTGCAAGTACCAGGAGTACACCACACAAGGAAAGAGGTCATACTTATTTGTTCAGAAGTTACCACCTTGATGGAAATGCACTTCTTTTGGAAACAGCAGAGGATGGACAAATGTTGTCCACATGCACTGCCTCTTCACTCGGCCAGCGAGGGCTCTGTGACACACACAGTTCGGTGGAGCAAGACTAACCAGTCCTCCCCCACCTATCGAGGTTTGCAGTCACTGCTGCATCACACACATGCCTGCAAACAGCCCTGGTAATGAGAAACAAATGCTCAGAGAAGTCTTGGGAAAAACCTATTCCTTGCATCTCACCTGACATCACCAATCTGTGGTACCAATAATTTGCTGTGAATGAGGTGGTGTCAAGACAGAGCCAGATCTTTCTCAAAAGAAAAGCTTTCTTTTTAATTTGTTCTGTATTATTCAGTACAGGAAAAAGAAGCCTGAGCCTAATATAGCGATCCATGGAGTAATAACTACTAATTAAATGCAAAACAGGATGTGCCTCATATTAATAACCCCACCTATACTGCAAAAAAGTTTTAATTCCTAACTTAAGAACCTTCTGATTCCATATTGACAGTCTGCATATAAAAAAAAAAGCACTGAGAAAAAAAATCACTTTCAGGCAAAGGATTGTCACAAAGCCCTCACTTTGTGATAAATCCTGTCATTAAATAACAAATCATGGCCTGTGATATGATCTACTTCAAAAAGCCACAAAGACTAAACAAAACTGTTGAAGCACGCTTGAATACTTTGTTTTTTAAATGAAAACCAGTCTGTTCTCTTACATTCAATTACTGAAACAGTGTTTCTGGACTTTTATTGACCCCTGCCATTAAATACTGCATAGATTAGTTACTTCCCAAGCTTTGTTATTTTCCCTGTTTCACCTAAATGATTGGTTTTATTGTTGTTACACATCTTTGCTTAGCTATCCTAATAACTCAGCACTCCATCTTTTATCTGAAGGTTCTCTCAGTGTGGCAGGGCACCATTCAGCCTCCCAAAGTAACACACGTGTTTTGTACTATGACAAAACTGGAGTTGCAGACACAGAGGTCAAGGAAGTCACAGACAGGAGCTTCTCTGCTGCTGTGTGCAGGGGGAGGGCTCAGGAAGCCTTTCCAATGCATGCAATTCAGGAATGCATCGCAAGACATTTATGTACAGATATCAAACTGAAACTACAAC